CAGTTCAAATTACAAAGAACCAGTGGGGGTTGGTACAGAAATACAAGAGTTTGAAACAAAAGAACAGATAGTTATGTGGGTAGGCGGGGACAATAGAGCAGGGGGAGTGCAAATACCAGTTACACCAGTTTTAGCTTGTGAGGAAGAATGGGGGAGTGGCTACTCTGGCTCTGGAGGATGAATAAGGGGGTTGGTAATCAGATACAAGTGGGGGGAGGTGTCCAAACTAGGTTGAATTTAGGCTTTAGTTCTGACCACCATTTGGTTCCATTGTTCCTCATGACACAGTTTAATTCACCAAGGCAGTTTTTCAACAATCGGTTTCCAACAGTCAATATATGGAAACTGATCATAGAATTCCGGCCTACTAGTTACAGCCACATGTACACCCTACACTAAATTTAAGTCAAGACTAACACATGGAGGCCATGGCCAGGACAGGCCACTCCCTACTACACAGTGTAGTCAATTTTTTTTATTTATTTATTTTTTTATTTAACATACAAGACAAAGGACCAACAGCCTTGTGAATCAGAAGATGATTTCAACAGAACGTCTGGTTCAAAAGCTGTACAAATATACACACAGTTTCAACAGTCACACCAATCTCCCTATCACCAGCACCACATGGCACAGTTACTAGGCCCAAACACACACGTGCACGCACACACAGGATCCTCACATGCGCAACAATATCACGACGTCGCACACACAAGTAAAATCAAGACTCACCAAACACTATATACTAATCAATGCAACTATTAAGCAAGTCATACAATTGTCCACACAATAAATCAACATTAACTAACCGATAGCATAACATTTCAACAATTTCGTCTCTACAGTCAGTGGTTATGGTACAGTTAGTAACTATTATACAGTTTAGACAATTATGATTTTAAAGTTACAATATCAGTTAGTACACATGCAAGGTTAAACAGTAATTTTAGTATTTTTCACGTAATATCAGTAGTTATGGTACAAGTCAGTGGTTATGGTACATGTCAGTGGTTATGGTACCGTGCGCTATTTTACACTATACACACAATTTACACGTCCGCTAAACGGCAGAGCTCAAGCTTTCTAGCAGAACATGCAATTCACCAATTCACCAACTACAGTATATTTAACTACATTTACAATAATCCCAACTATTCTAATTGGCCAGCACCTTGAGTACTATCGAACTATTTACACCAGGATTCGGTTAGTCTACGCTGCCCAAGCACCACATATAGCAAACTAGTGGGCGGCATTTACAACAGTACCCATTTAGTCTATCTATCAATAGTCTAGTGCCTGAATTTACAACATAGCACACTTAGCCAAGATAGGTTGAGAGCTAGCAGACGGAATGTACACCAGAATCTGCTTAGTCTCGCCGGCCTCCCCGACCTAGCGACCCAATTTACACCTAGAAACACTAGTCAAGACAGGACACCGGTGTCCGGCATAAACTATTTACACCAAGATTTAGCCTGACCCAAACCACCTATATTAGACAGGCTGACTACAGAGCGTCTAATTTCAGATAAGTGGTGCGCCTTCGCTTCTTCCCTCCAGAGTGAGGGGACAGTCCAATAACCGGTTCCAAATATAAAACCCCTTGTGGGCCTACCGCTCTAAAGGTATAGTCTTACCTTTTAGTTCCTGGACCTGGGTTCACACTCATCGACGGGGCACCCCGCTACTCACTGCGCAGAAGCCGATGATCTCCTTGACAACAGGCCAGTGGCGCCGAGACGAAAGGAGGTCCACGCAGAAGTTCAGGGGTGCTGCCGTGGAGAACGTTGGTAAAAGTTTACCGTCTCAAATCTCTGCGCCAGTTCCATGCGATGAGGTTCCCGGACCCAATGCACCAAAAATGTTACCGGAGGAATAACAGGAACAAACTGCAGAAGCCAGACATAGAGATATGGACACAAGTCTTCAGAAAGTAACAGGTCTTTTATATACACACCGATCGGGTCTCATATGAACTCCTGTTCCAAAAATATCTGAGAGGCAGAAAGCATGGTGCAGAGGCCTTTTGTTAGCAGCATATCCCCTCCCATACAGTATAACCCCTCCTATATTCCTCAGACCAATCAGAACAGAGGATATTCAGGATCACCTTATATGGGCAGACCACATGGCATTTACAGACAAAGGAATGTACTATCCACTTCCACACATGCTCAGTATACTGATGACTCATCCAACTGTTTGTAATCAGATACTAATTAGCATATGCCATGTGGAGATTTCGGCCTACTAAATTTTGACCATGCTGGAATCCCGTCACAAAACCACAGCACAAACATGCACTGCATTCACCATACACACACTAAAACTACAATATAAACACACACTGCATTCACTATACACACACTAAAACAACACACACACACTGCATTCACCAAACACACACTAAAACTACAACACAAACACACACTGCATTCACCATACACACACTAAAACCACAACACAAACACACACTGCATTCACCATACACACACTAAAACCATAACACAAGCACACTGCATTCACCATACACACACTAAAACCACAACACAAACACACACTAAAACTACAACACAAACACACACTGCATTCACCATACACACACTAAAACTACAATACAAACACACACTGCATTCACTATACACACACTAAAACCACAACACACACACACCTCATTCACCATACACACACTAAAACCACAACACAAACACACACTGCATTCACCATACACACATTTAAACCACAACACACACACTGCATTCACCATACACACACTAAAACTACAACCCAAACTGCATTCACCATACACACACTAAAACCACAACACACACACACTGCATTCACCAAACACACAGTAAAACAACAACACAAACACACACTGCATTAACCATACACACACTAAAACCACAACACAAACACGCACTGCATTCACCATACACACACTAAAACTACAACACAAACACACTGCATTCACCATACACACTAAAACCACAACACAAACACACACTGCATTCACCATACACACACTAAAACTACAACCCAAACTGCATTCACCATACACACACTAAAACCACAACACACACACACTGCATTCACCAAACACACAGTAAAACAACAACACAAACACACACTGCATTAACCATACACACACTAAAACCACAACACAAACACGCACTGCATTCACCATACACACACTAAAACTACAACACAAACACACTGCATTCACCATACACACTAAAACCACAACACAAACACACACTGCATTCACCATACACACACTAAAACTACAACACAAACACACACTACATTCACCATACACACACTAAAGCTACAACACACACACTGCATTCACCATACACACACTAAAACTACAATACAAACACACACTGCATTCACTATACACACACTAAAACCACAACACACACACCTCATTCACCATACACACACTGCATTCACCATACACACACTAAAACTACAATACAAACACACACTGCATTCACTATACACACACTAAAACCACAACACACACACCTCATTCACCATACACACACTAAAACCACAACACAAACACACACTGCATTCACCATACACACATTTAAACCACAACACAAACACACACTGCATTCACCATACACACACTAAAACTACAACCCAAACTGCATTCACCATACACACATACTTAAACTACAACACACACTGCATTCACCATACACACACTAAAACCACAACACAAACAGGCACTGCATTCACCATACACACACTAAAACAACAACACAAAAACGCACTGCATTCACCATACACACACTAAAACTACAATACAAACACACACTGCATTCACCATATACACACTAAAACCACAGCACAAACACACACTGCATTCATCATACACACACTTAAACCACAACACAAACTGCATTCACCATACACACACTTAAACCACAACACAAACACACACAGCATTCACCATACACACACTAAAACCACAACACAAACACACACTGCATTCATCATACACACACTAAAACCACAACACAAACTGCATTCACCATACACACAATTAAACCACAACACAAACACACACAGCATTCACCATACACACACTAAAACCACAACACAAACACTCTGCATTCACTACACAAACACTCACTTGATCTAAAACACACAAAACTACATCCATTATACAAATGTGCAATCTGTATCCATTTTACACACCACACAGGGCATCCTTGTGGGCGGACTCAGAATGGGCCCCGGGGGCAGACTCTGGGGCGGGCCCGTGGGCCCAGACTTTGAACTGTGTCAGGGCCCCAAAATTTCTGATGGCAGCTCTGTCTGTATGTATGTGTATGTATGTCAGTATGTGTATGTATACGTCTGTCTGTGTCCATTTGTATGTCTGTCAGTATATTTGTGTGTGTGTGTCTGTATGTTAGTAAGTGGCTGTAAATGTTCTGTGTCTGTTAGTATGTGTGTATCTGTGTATTCCAGTGCATGTGTTTGTGTATTCCTGTGGGCGGTGTTTGGAGGCGGGCCCCTGGGGTCCCAGACCTTGAGCATTGTCAGGGCCCCAAAATTTCTGTTGGTGGCCCTGCAAACAGCCATGTCATCATTGGGGGTCTTTGCAAAATATACAAAGCCAATAGGTGACAGAGCAGCTCTACATGGAAGGAGGGGAGAGGTCACCATAATAATATAATGATTTGCTGAACAGTGGGTGAGCCCTTCTTCTGTTACAGAAAGTTGCCCACTACAGAGAATACATTCTCATGCCCCCTTCAAGAACAGTAACAAATTAAATCCTATGGCATTTTGTTGTCTACCTATCTACCTGTGGACAGCGGCTACACAAAGTAAGAGTAGCCCACAGCACAGAGAGAGGCATCTATAACACATGCATAGGGAAGCATGTTAGATTTGGGTGCTGAAGCAAGACATGACGTCATTAGTACGCGACCAGGTTCCGGTGTTCCGGGTCCATGAAATGTCTCTCTTGTGGGCGGGGCTTTGAGGAGTTTGCTGCCAGGCTCAGTGAATACCGGTTAGGAAACGAAACCCAGCAGCACACTCATAATAAGACAAGGGAACATCTCCTGCTAGCGGTGACCGTGCTATAGAAAAACACCGGTAAATCTGTCGACAGGTTTCGGCTACTGGGATGTCACTGCATCTGTACTGTCCCATAGAAATAAGCTGACAGCCCGCTGTAGAAGGGACACACAGGTGATTTATCTACGAGAACTGATAGCTATGCAACCAGCAAGGCTCAGTCCATGCTTTTTTCCATAAATTATACTTTTTTTTTTTTGTTGCATAGTTATATATCTTAAATCTAAAAAATATGTTTGTTGACAACTGTAAGCAAATAGTTTTCCAAGCATTATTGCTTTGGTGTATGAATGACATTACATTTAAAATCACATTTGTGAATGTCTAGATTTCCCGAGTCAACACCTACATATTTGAGGGTTACCCCACTGAGTGGATATTGGGGCTGGATTTAAGGGCACAATGTTTAGAACTCTGGTATCTCTTGGGTTAAGTCTACCAAAACCAAAGCCCCTCATTTGTTTACTACGTTTACCCAGAAACTTCGAATAATCGATTTCTACAGTAAGTAGAGGTTCCATAGCCTGATTGTTCTGTTTAGTAATGAAAACATTTTAAATTGCATGAACTGATAAAATGCAAAATTCTGTTGAGCTTGTTCTCTCATTTAGTCTTAAACAAGGAATTGCAAAGAATTGCTAAGTAAATTGCTAAGTAAACTTCAGCCTGTATAGCTAAACTCGAATAGAGGCTAATTCTGACCATTTTTGTAACATTTAAAATTCTGAACTTCAGTCATTCATTTTGAACCCCAAAAGAATATTTACAAGATGCTTGGTTTAGTCTGTAGTGTCATTAGAATATTGCAAGATTGGAGTTATTGATAAATTAGATACATTTGCTGCAAAATAATGTAAGAACTTTGGTTATTGTCAATTGAACAAAAAAATCTGTCAAAGTACTTTAACACTACGTGTTCTGCAGTTATATTTCAGTGAATAAACCCCATTACGCTGAACAAGTTTTGGATCATATCAAAGAGAAACTCTAACTTTGCACCTGTTAACATGTGTGTCATATTAGTTACTGTACTGCACATTTTTGTCTATTCGTGAGAAACTGTTAATCGAATGTATTGCATAAGCACACCAATGTAAACAATATGTTGTTTCCTTTTTATTTTTTCTAATGATATTTTGCACTCTATGGAAAGAATAAAATATACTGTTCGTAATTTACAGCAGTTGTTTTTTTAATTTTTTTTACTTTCACTTTTGCTTTACTGTGCAGTTATTGAAATACTATGCAGTTTATTTCAGAGAAGAAATAAGAAGTCTTAAACTTAGTAAATCCAAGAGAAACAAGTGGATAAGGGAATAATATTGGCACCAAAACCACGTTTGTAATCATGCTAGTTAGGAGTTAAATCACTTTTGCTTCTGTTAATGCAACCCTAGCAACACCTCACCTGACTCACACAGTCTCCATGAAAAAAAATGGTTTTGTTTTCAATCAGACCTTCCTGATCCTGTAGTGTAAATTTAACCAAGAGATACAAAATTCTAAATTAAACAGAATTTGCAACAAAGGAATTTCAAAGAAACTCTATAGTCACCCAGACCACTTCATCTAAATGAAGTGGTCTGAGTGCAATTTCCTTGTCATCTTAACCCTGCAATGTAAAACATTAAAGGTTTTCCAAAACTGCATTGTTTACCTACAGGGTTAACTCCGCCTCTAGTAGTCCACTATACTGACAGCCACTAGAGGCTCTTCTGTGGCACAGACTGACTAAAGATTGGTTACATAATACGGAAGCCCCATAGGAAAGCATTGATTCAGTGCTATCCTTTGGGGAATGTTAAACGTGTGTGTGTGTGTATTGGACTCTCACAGGGGCAGATAGGTCAGCAGCTCCGAAGTAAAGCTTAATTATTTATTTTTGCACTCGAGAGCTGTTTCGGATAGATATGGCAGATTGAATTGAATGAGACTTAAGGGCTCATGACCTATACAACAAAACCACTTAACATGAAGTTGTTTTTGTGCTTATAAAATCCCTTTAATCCATATTTTCCATCAATGTTCTATATCTGTGATGCCAGATAGAAACAAAATGTGTATTCTGAGTGAAATACTGAAGCAGCTGTGCTTGCATAGCAAGAAGATCTTATGTAGAATGTGAATCCAGAAACCTTTTTCCCCACCCCAGTTAGAAGATAAAACAGCACCAGCTGGGTAAAGTTTGTGCCACTTCCCCAAGCAGTTCTATGACATTGTTATTAATAAAATATACACATTCAATTCAGATAACTTGGATGGATACCAGCAGTACAAAAACCTGGAGCCTCAAATAGTATCAATAACCAGTGTCATGGAGATGTAATGTAGAGTGATGGTTAGTTAGAAGAGTACATGGCAGTTCTACAGACCATATCGGTATAGATAAACATATTCACTAAAGTGAATTACAAAGTAAAGTTTAAAATAGCTAAACTGGGCCTAAATGCTCTGTATAACTTTTACAGGGTATTTCACTGAAGTAGTATTCACAGTTTATTTAAAGTACATTTTAAAGGGATACAATAGTCACCAAAACAACTTTAGCTTAATGAAGCTGTTTTTGTGTATAGATCCTATCTCTGAAGTCTCACCGCTCAATTCTCTGCCACTTCCATTGGCTTTGACTGACACAGCCTGCATGAGAACAACACGGTTTCATTTTCAATCAGAGGTATCTTACTTTAATAATTTTTATCTCCTACTCTGTAAATTAAACTTTAATTAAAAACGGGATGCTCCTGCAGGGTCTAGCTAAATGAAACAAAATATGCAATAAAGGAAGTGTAACATTACATGACTCTTTACAGGAAGGGTTTAAAAAGGCTCTGTAAGGCACATGCAGGAAGGTGTGCCTAAGGCTGCATAAACAAAGTATATTCCTGCCTAAATGGCAGAGAATTGAGCAGCGAGACAACAGGGCCATAATATATACACCAAAACTGCTTCATTAAAGGAACAATATAGGATCAGGAACACATAAATTTATTCCTGACCCATCTAGCCCCCGTAAACATAGTAAAATCTTACCTTTATTCCAGTCTTCTGCTGGTGTCACTGCCCTAATCTGCCTCCTTTACTGAAATCATCAGAAGTGATGATCTGAGCCAATCGCAATGCTTTCCCATAGGAAAGTATTGGATTGGCTGAGCTTGTTAAGAAGGCAGATCAGGGGCAGAGCCAGCACAAGCCAAACACAGCCCTGGCCAATAAGCATCTCCTCATTGAGATGGATTAAATAATGCACTAAATGTCAGCACTGCCCCAGGAAGCACCTCTAGTGACCATCCGAGGAGTGAACAGTGGAGGTATCCTTAGGCTGTAATGTAAACACTTCCTTTTCTCTGAAAAAAACAGTGTTTACTGCAAAACGCCTGAAGGGACTGATTATACTCGCCAGAACAAATACAATAAGCTGTAGTTGTTCCGGTGACTATAGTATCCATTTATAGTATCCGTTTAAGCTAAAGATGTTTTAGTGACTATATACAAGAGACAAACTTCTCACAGTCAGCTGTGATTTCAGTTTGGCTACTCTGGCCTTAAATTTAAAATTAATTTTGAATTCTCACTTTAGTGAATAACCTTGATAATTTTAAACAAAATAGTACCCTCATACCCGAAAAATTAAGGGGAGGAGGAAACAAAATAGAAAATTGAAGGAGGGCTGGATGAGTTTTGTGTCTGTAATTGCTCTTCCTCAGCAGTTTCAGTGCACCTCTAGCTTTTTGTATTGTGTATCATAGCAGCAGCTGGGACAGTAAGATAAGCTGGGGTGTCTGATCTGATTTTGTTTTGTTAAAGGGATGCTAGAGTCAGCAGAACAATTACAGCTTAATGTAGTTGTTGTGGTGTGTATAGTCTTTCCTTACATGCTTTTCAATGTCAATACTGCATTTTCATAGAAAAGGCAGTGTTTGCATTACTGTCTAGTAACACCTCTAGTGGTTCAATGCATCTCTATAAGGAGATGCTGATTGGCGCTGTGCATGCTCAACAGCCTCCCAGTGCTTTCCTGTGGGAATGCATTGGATTGGCTGAGATCGTCAGATCTGATCTCCGCAAAAGAGGCAGAGAGAGGAAGGGCCAGCCGCGAGGAAATACATGCGGTGTTGGAATAAAGGTGAGTAAAATCACCTTTTACTTTGCTGACTGGGGCCAGGGGCCTATACTGTGTTTTCATAGCTATAGAGACAGGAATACATATTTGTATTCCTGTCACAATAGTACTCCTTTAAATACAATGCTATAACATATTTTCACTGAAACTTACATTTCTTTTTATGGACTGAAACAGAATAGCTTCTGTATCAGCTGGTTATAAAGTCGGAATATGCATATCGTTTTTACATTGACCTGATTAATGCATTTTTTTGTTTTGTTTTTTTTTATTGCCCATGCTCTTCCAGGTTTCCTGATGTCATTAATTTTCAATTGGACAGGTAAAGATTTCAATGAGTCGCACCTCCAACATGTTAATTTGCGACATCTGTACTCAGGAAGTGTCCTCAGTGGAGGACATGAAGAGTCATATGCTGCTAGCGCACGTGGAACATGAAGTCAGTTGTCCTCTATGCACATTTTCTGGGTTAACATATGATGAACTCCACTTCCACATGCAAACTGCTCATGAAGATATGCTAAACAATTGGGACAAGGATGTAAATCAGTGTGATGATGTGGTACAACAAAAAGTCAGCGGTAGTAATGTCTCAGGCGATACAACAGCTTCAGACCTTTTTGCAGAAGCCTCTGAAAGACATAATGATCATATGCAATATGACAACAGCCTTCAAGGCTTTCGAGAAGATGAAAATGAACTGTCTGAGGGAGACTTCTGTAATTCATCACTTTCTGATTCATCGAGTTGCACTGTTTCCAGTAGCTCAAACTCAGATTTTATGGCTAATGCATCTTGTTCCTCTTCTGTAGTATGCATACCTAATTCAGGTTCAGTAAAAGAAAAGAGTGAAGCATGTGAACTTCAGTTTGATTTAGGTGCATCAGCATCTGTTACACAAGATGATGTTACTATGCTACCAGAGTGTCCTTTTTGCTGTGAAATAAAACCATCATTTGAAGAGCTTGAATTCCATGTAAGAACGGAACATGCAGATCTTGTAGACACACCCACTAAAGGTATTTACTTCGGTCGATGCATATTCATATTTTTTATGTGTTTGGGTATTTTTATGTTTATATTTTCATTGTTGTATCGAAATTGTTCTTTGTTCATCAGTGCTACTATATGTAATTCAGTAATCTAATTTAAATAGTGTTTTTAGAACTAAACTTTTTAAAGCTAACTAAGTCAAAGTGGTATTATCCTGTAGGTTAAGACATACAAGTCAATGGGATATTGCTTTAATTCCATTTCTTTGTTGGCTCAGGTGGGAAAGAGGTTACCTGGTCCCTCCTGTTTACTGCTAAACTACAACACTATTGGCCATATTTTTAAATACTTCACCAACAGGGAACACACCTCTCTCATGACATGCTATCTACATTGTCAATGGATTGACATCAGAACAGAGTGAATATCAAAGCAACTACCGCTGATTTGCTACAAACATTCTATGGCTCTTCCTGGTCACTCTATGCCGCAAATTTATTGAGTGATAAGGTGGAAAGACAATACTTTTATGACATTTTTTTCAGGGAATTCAATTGCTTGCATTACAAATGCCTGAAATATCTGTGTCTTTTATTTTAACTCACTTTATGTGTACCAAGACAGATATTCTAAAGCAGAAACTTGTGTGTAAATTTGAGATTTTCCTCTATCTAGGGAAAAAAAGATTTTGGAATTTGGATATCTTTCTTTTAGAACCTCTTTATGTATTGCTAAGCAACAATTTTCTTCAGGATATTTTTCTGTTATCTGAAAACCTTTGTCAACTCACTAATGTGTGCGAAAAAGAAAATCTATGGAAGCTAATCACCCAAATTATATTGAAAATATTACAATTTGACACAGAAATTGTAATGTGAAAGTTGTAGATAAATTCCAATTCACTCTTTAGAGAGCAATATATTTGCTCATTCTTAACCCCTTAAGGACCAAACTTCTGGAATAAAAGGGAATCATGACATGTCACACATGTCATGTGTCCTTAAGGGGTTAAAGGTAACGTCCAAGTGCCATAACCATCACAGCTGTTGTAGTTTATAGGATGGCTAATAAACTGTGGGCACCAAGCTTCAGTTCTGTTTCAGGCTATTTTTTTCAGCAGGTTTGAAGAAATGTGAGTCCCCCAGTAACCTGCAGGCTGGCTACTTGCTTGTTGTATTGCTTATGTAGAATTTTTGTTTTGACATTAGCATTATTAATATTTGGGTGGTTGTGGTAGGCTGAGAAAAAAAAAAATAGATAAAACATGCCATAGCTCATGTCACGATTGCTATGGGAACAGTTTATTTTGTCTATATTTGTGTGCTAGAAGAAACAGACCTAATTTAGCGTCCTACAGAAATATTGATTGCCAGTCACTATAAATCACTGAGGCTGGGGAGGCAAACCTTGACATCATAAATGTTTTTGAGTGAAGTTTCCTGTGATGCTCAGCTGTCATAGGAAGATAAATCTCTAAGGTTAATTGAATTTTTCTAGTGATACGACTTATTAAATATTTTCATTTTTGAATGCATATTTAAATGTGAAAGCTTGAGCAAGATCCACTTTCGTGCATTTTTAACACCTTAAGGTTACATGCCTTTTATTCCATAAATTTGGTCCTTAAGGGGTTAATCCTTTTTAACCCTTATGCGGAAAAAGTGACTACTATATGTGTATTGTTTTCTTTTGGGTTTTTTTAGAACTCATTTGATTAATTTAAAAAACAGACACTGAGTACTTTTATGAAACTCTTTGATACAATGTACAGCAACCACTCCCTCTAAAAAAAAAAATTAACGAATTGATTTGCAACACTTTTTAAAAATTTTTTTTTTATTTCTAATTTGTTAGATTGTAAAAAGTATGAATGTCCCATGTGTTCATTGGTCTGTGCAAGTTGCCAAATTCTTGAAGAGCATGTAAACCTGCATTTGGAGGAAGGAAGCCGCAACGAAGGTAGCTATTTTATAATGCATTTTTCAACTGTAAAATTATTTTTGCCATTTCGCAATGTATGTCACACAGAATGCATTGATTTTGTTTATGCACTAACACAAATTACTATCTAATGAATTTTACATGCTTTAAAAAAAATTAAACCATATAAAAGTATTGTGCTTAAAATGTGCAAATAAAAATAAATTATTGATATATCTAAAAATACAAGAGCTGTTATACAGACTGTTTACTTGCCAATCTGCAAAATAAGTGCTTTATAGTACAGGCTATTATTGAATGCCTTATTAAATTTCTACAGTAATAGACTCACAATTCCCAGACCACTTTTAACTGGCTCTAGGTATATTGGCTTATATATTCGCGGGATGTGGTATATATTCTCCTTCCCATAAACAGAAAAGAAAACAGAAAGTTCCAATCACTATTACAATAACTAAATGGACTGTCTTGTATATATGCACAAGTCTAAGTTCCATTTTATCGAACTTCCACTTAGCCTTTTACGGTCAACCTATTTGGTCTTAGTGAATGTGTTCGTCCACTTAAAATTGACTCTGTTGAATGAGACATCTGAGCCTCTCAGGAAACAACATTTGGGTGCAAAGTTCTGCAAGCAATGGCCAGATTCCAGACCAATAATCACATCTTATTACGCCACTCTTGTGTTAATGCCGCTATCCATATTGAAAAAATAAATTTTACTTACCGTATATTTGCTTTTCCATAAGATTAGTAACAGTATTGGTTACATAAATATGTATGTATATATATATATATATATATATATATATATGTGTTTATATATATATATATATATTTACATTTTGGCATATTTGTGTTTTTTCATATCTAGGGAAACTGTATAGTTGCTTGATGTTATATGTAGTGGGAGGAGGATTGTGGGAGGTTCTGCATATTTAAATGTCTTTATAGTCCCTACCTGTCTTTTAATAAGTTGCTTAACTCTCTTGTTCTACTTCAATTAGTAAAATTTAGTGGGGTGTTTTTTTTTTTTCCTACATTGTCTTGATTAAAATTTAATTTAATTGTAGTTAACATACAATTTTAAAATAATTTTCTTTTGTTACATAACATTGCATTTTTTTCTTTCCTTCCTAGATTTGGCAGCTAATGCATGTAGTGATCTATACTTGGCCAAACAACTCCAGTGTGAGGAAGACAAACGACGTAGAGCAGAAGAATCACAAAAAGAAAAGGAGGAATTTCAGAAATTGCAGGTTCATTGCTCTTTGTGTTCTTTTAGCAGGTTCATTTGCAGGTTTCTAGTAAATCCAGAGGCTTATGTGTTTTGTTAGGGGACTATGCATAACGAACATGGTTTGTGTGTGTATATAAATATAATATAAATATAATATAAAACATACAAGAGCCAGGGCAATCATCCACTAAACAGCAACTTCAAAACTCACAGAATGTATTAGTTTTATTTAAAATCATCTAACCTAGACAAAAATAATGGGGGTTTAGTTACAGTTTTTGGCAGGTTAAAGGGATCCTATAGTGCCAGGAAAACAAACAAAGCTTTTCCTATAAGGTTAATATCATTTTTGTCGAATAATATTTTTATGATTTCTAATTGGAAACTGCTTCCTGTGGAATCCTGCCTTGGAGAGGAGAATCCCTAGCGCTCTGCTCAATGTGAATTGTTCTATATAGGGGCTTATTTCATCATGTGCTTAGTTTGGATGCACTATTAATGTTGTCTCTTTTTTTTTTTTTTTTTTTTTTTTTTTTTTTTTTTTTTTTTTTTAATAGTCTTTTGGATAGAAATTTTGTTTTATCTTTGGTTCTATTCAATAAATTTGTGTTTAAAATAGTTCCCTGTATCAAGCATATATTTCATCAGGGTGCCAGGTCCCCCTAGTTTTAACCCTGCAGCTGTAAACATAGCAGTTTCAGAGAAACTGCTATGTTTATATTGAGGGTTAATCCAGCCTCTAGTGGCTGTCTCCATGACAACCACTAGAGGCCGCTTCCGCAATCCTCAATGCAAAAATCGCATTGAGGACACGCTGGACATCCATAGGAAAGCATTGAGTAATGATTTCCTATGGGCGGTTTGAATGCATGCATATTTGGAGCTGACGTCGGCAGGGGGGAGTAGAGGTCACCAGCGCCGAGGGAACCCTGCACTGGATTAAGGTAAGTGGCCGAAGGAATTTTAACCCCTTCAGCCCAGCGGGAGGAGGGCCCTGAGGGAGGTGGGGATATAATAACCCTATTGTGCCAAGAAAACTAGTTTGTTTTCCTGGCACTATAAGTGCTCCTTTAAGCTAGCTACTATAGCTTGGTTAAAGAAGAATAATAATCTATTGGGAATGTTGTCTTTAAACAGAGTTCATGACGAAAATAAAACCTTTTGGTCACAGTGTCTCTTTAAAATTGTTAAATTTAAATGCTCAGTTGATCAATATTGTTGCATGAACATACAATTTCACCATATATTAGTTTGTTTTTTCTTTTGATTTCAATTTAACACTTTTTTTAAAATTTCATTCAACAGAAACAGTTTGGTATGGACAATTCTGGAGGATATAAAGAGCAATCTTTGCAAAATTTAGAAAGGGCTGTTGCCAGGGGAAGAGTACAACCAATGGAGTTTCACCTACAAAGAGTGCAAATGATGGAAACGTTGGCTACTGGTGTAGATGATGGTAGAACAAAGACTTCAGGTATATGACATGGCATATCTCATATATGAAAATATCTGCTCAGAGGTAAAAAGTATTATTTTCTAAAAGGAACAGTTTAATAAAAAAAAATTATATAATTTTTTTAAAACAGTTTCATTATATGTTTGGATTATTGTCCTACCCTAAACAGCCGCCACACTGCACAGCCGGTGCCTCCTCTAGTAAATCTATGAATTGGTTGGGCACATACAGATTCTGATGTTGGCATACTTTGCATGCTGACGGCAGATGTCAAATAGATTCAGTTATTGAAGCTGTTTGTGTCAAAAGCTCCTTATGGCTCTCTGATAGCTATTAGCAGATATGGACATTGCACAAAAACTACAGCGTTGCTTCTCAGAAAGCGAACTGTTTTCCTTTACAAGGTTGAAGGAGAAGAGTATATATCTCAAAATCACTCAATTAAAGTGGCACTATAAGAACCATAACACAATTGCTAAATGTAACGGTTCTGGTGCTTAGAACCACTATTGCTTAATGTAGTGGTACTGGTGCTTAGAACCAGTCCCTTCATCTCTAGTCGCTGTCTAAAGATGTATTTATTAATTTACAGGAATTTTTATTGAGGGAGGTTTTAGGACCTTTAATTTGAACGGGAGGGTGAACTTATGAACAGTTTTGAGGGGCATGGACAATGGCGTTTCCACCCTGTCATCTTGTATTTAACTAGAGCCCCCATCTGCCGCCCATGGATGGGGCTGTATGGAACTAGAAAACTAGATTATCTACCAATACGTGTGTTCCCCCCCCCCCCAGCTATTATAATAATAGTGTCCAACCATTTCCCATGTGACACTAAGTTCCCGTAATGGGGATGGGGGGGAATAGGATGTCCCCAGTCCTCTCATTTGTTATTTATTTATTATTTAATCTCTCCCACATGCTGGCCAAAGTTGTATGTTCATCCCCATTATTTAATTTACATTCTACCACCCAATACGGATGGGTGGGGGCACGGGCGACCCAGGTCCTACTTGTTATTTCACAGTCACATTCCTTTTAGGATGGGTAATTTCTAGAGAATGGGCAGCACTGTGTGGCCAATTTCCAGTTTATATTTACAGTGAGCATCCACTGGCTGCTCATTGTTTAGTACAGTCATAGGCAACCTTGGGCACTACAGATATTGTGGACTACATCTCCCTGTTGCTTTGCCAGCATTACGGGTATAAGAGCATTATGGGAGATGTAGTTCATAATGTCTGGAGTGCCAAAGGTTGCCTACGCTTGGTTTGGAAGAAAATCCTCCACCTGCCAAGTGGGGACAATAAGGGATGTTTTTTATACTTTACCTATTTAATGTGGCAGTTGGCTTGAAGCACTAGCCAGCTACCACACCGTTAAATAAAGCTTCTCAGCACAAGGCATAACAATTTGTTTGCTGACTGCTAGCTCTGCCAGACCTGCATTTTAACAACCCAGGTCCAGATTCGGAGTCTTCTCTGCAAAATCCAGACATTGGTAAATAGTGTAAACTGTCTCTAGATTTTGCATTCCAAATGGCATCGTACTCAGTCGGATTGTTTTGCTACATTCGGTATGGTGCCCATTCAGAGTTTAATAAATAACTTAGTCAAGTTTTCATATTTTTAGTCTGTAAAATATCCATTCTTAGATTGTCATGCAATTGCATTCATGCTTTGTGGTATTTGTTCATCTATTATACTGTAAAGTTATGGAGAATTTTCTTATTTTATGTACAATGGTTTGTCAATTTTTGCAAGCTTTTGTTTTTTCAATTTTGTGTAGGAGTTCTGGATGCTCTGTGTAGATATTATAACAATTCTGCCCCTGAAGTGAATTGTGTCTGGCTTTGTTCAAATTTGGACCATTTCAGCAACTCTCCAGGAGATAAAGGATGGGGCTGTGGTTTTCGAAATTTTCAGATGATCCTTTCTTCTCTACTGCACAATGACACCTTCAAAAACTCTCTACAAGGTATGAAAATGTTAGACCCAAATTACCAAACTAGAAGCATAGCTGACTTGGTGAATTTTTAAAATTCAACAATTTTGGCCTTAAGGTTGCAATTCACTTTGAATTCTTAACAATTTTAACTTTAGTAAATAACCCTATAAGGACACCTTCACGTAGGAATTTTTTTTTTTTTTTTAAACTTCTGTTTTCTAGCAACGTAGAAAAGGTTTTCACATGTCTTTGTTTATTGAAGTTTTCATATAGCATACACTATACAGTATATAATGCACGTAACAATAATATGTTGAATTTGTAACATAATGTGTGCAGTTGCAAGAATCATAACTTTGGCATCCAAATTATACAATAAAAATAACATCGGCATCCAAGTTATATAATACCAGTGGTAAATCATTCATAACATTGTACAATGGAAGAACAAAATTGGAACCAAGATATTTGGCTTAACAACCATGAATACAGTACGTCCTACCTAGGGTGGGCAGCTGACACCCAACTCAACCTCCTTTAAAACTAATGAAGGAGTTGGGATATTATATCTTCATTCTTGGGAGACCTTCGTATCTGTAACCTAATGTGTTGTGCGGGGTGATGTGTACTAAAATTGTTCTATGACAACAGTATTGGGGTGCTTAACTCATCGGTTAGTGATACTTCTACCACGGTCGGTGTGTTGTGGTTCGTAGGATCTCAAGCTCCTTGTTTACTATCAACTGCTCTTTTTTTGGGTTATAATGTAACTTATCCGAGTTATAGTTGGACGTTTTCGTTTAACTCAACTGCGCACTTACAGGTAATACTCGAAAAATTTGAATATCGTGCAAATGTTCATTTATTTCAGTAATTCAACGTAAAAGGGGAAACTAATATATGAGATAGACGCATTACATGCAAAGCAAGATAGCTCAAGCCGTGATTTGTCATAAGTACAATGATTATGGCTTACAGCTCATGAAAATTCCAAATCCACAATCTCAGTAAATTAGAATATTGTGAAAAGGTGCAATATTCTAAGCTCACAGTGTCCCACTCTAGTCAGCTAAGTAAGCCATAACACTTGCAAAGGGTTTCTGAACCTTTAAATGGTCTCTCAGTCTGGTTCAGTAGGAATCACAATCATGGGGAAGACTGCGGACCTGACAGTTGTGCAGAAAACCATCATTGACACCCTCCTTAAGGAGGGAAAGCTTTAAAAGGTATCAAAGCACATTAATAGAAAGTTATGTGGAAGGGAGAAGTGTGGAAGAAAAAGCTGCACAAGCAGCAGGGATTGACCGCAGCCTGGAGAGGATTGTCAGGAAAAGGCCATTCAAAAGTGTTGGGGACTTTCACAAGGAATGGATTGAGGCTGGAGTCAGTGCATCAAGAGCCACCACACACAGACGGATCCTAGACATGGGCTTCAGATGTCGTATTCCTCTTGTCAAGCCGCTCCTGAACAACCAACAACGTCAGAAGTGGGCTAAAGAAAAACAGACCTGGTCTGTTGCTCAGTGGTCCAAAGTCCTCTTTTCTGATGAGAGCAACTTTTGCATCTCATTTGGAAACCAAGGACCCAAAGTCTGGAGGAAAAATGGAGAGGCACACACTGCAAGATGCTTGAAGTCCGTGTGAAGTTTCCACAGTCTGTGTTGATTTGGGGAGCCATGTCATCTGCTGGTGTTGGTCCACTGTGCTTCATTAAGTCCAGGGTCAACGCAGCTGTCTACCAAGAGATTTTGGTGCACTTCATGCTTCCTTCCGCAGACGAGCTTTATGGGGATGCTGACTTCATTTTCCAGCAGGACTTTGCACCTGCCCACACTGCCAAAAGCACCAAAACCTGGTTCAATGACCGTGGGATTACTGTGCTTGATTGGCCAGCAAACTCGCCTGACTTGAAACCCATAGAGAATCTATGGGGCATTGCCAAGAGAAAGATGAGACATGAGACTGAACAATGCAGAAGAGCTGAAGGCCGATATTGAAGCATCCTGGTCTTCCATAACACCTCAGCAGTGCCACAGGCTGATAGCTTCCATGCCACGCCGCAATGAGGCAGTAATTGCTGCAAAAGGGGCCCAAACCAAGTACTGAGTCCATATGCATGCTTATACGTTTCAGAGGTCTGATATTGTTCTATGTACACTCCTTGTTTTATTGATTGCATGTAATATTCTAATTTACTGAGATCGTGGATTTGGGATTTATGAGCTGTAAACCGTAATCATGTCTTAGTGTCTCACAGCCTCCCCAACATTGCCATAACTTACTGAGGGCTACTTCTTTTCATTTTAGTCTAAATGACATTTGCTTATAATGGTAGCTAGTGTCAACCCTTTTCCAAAACTCCAGATGTGAAGGTACAATAGCCTCTTTCCAGTGACTCGCTATTAGGGATGTGCATGGGAAAAAAAATTTGTTTTGATTTGGTACTTCCAAAATTCGGCGGTTCGGTTCAGCACTTCTGAAATTCGGGACTTTGGCAGTTCCCTAACCCTAAACCAACCATAACCCTAGTAGGGTTAAGTTTTGGGTTAGGGTTAGATTCTGCATTTGTGAGAGCATTATAACTTAGGGACAACAATTTAATGGGTGTTTTTTATTTGCCTGTGCAGCATTAGCAAAGGGTGTCAGGTGGGAGTCATCTCCAATGATTACATGGAGGTTCTATAGCATATGCTTGACTCGTAGGTATGTAAATATTTCCCGTGGGGGATGGGATAGTTCTGTTGGTAAAGCTTGGATTGGTTTAATCCTTAACTTGTCAAATAATGAACCCACAGTGGAAGCTCCACCCTCTATCCATCTGGTCAGTGGAATATCTTGGGAAAGTGATGCGAGAGCATTGGAGGCCAAACTGCTCGGACCTAACAAACTCTGCGACCATTGTTTCCATTTATTCAATAATAATTTGGTGGTATTTAACAGCAAGTGGTGGAGTTTATACGATGTGATGCATGCTTCTTCCATGGGGAGCCACACAGGCACAGCAGCCTGTGTTAATACTGATTTGCTGCATGCCAGAATTGAGGCTTTGTAGTATAGTTTAGTGTTTGGGATGCCCAGGCCACCCTTGGTAGGGTACAACCAGGATAGGCGAGTTTAAACTCATTGAACAGTTTTGTGAGAAATTAGGTTAATTTAGCCTCCATTTGAATATAAAAGTAGTTAGAAAACCCATCTGTTCCCGGGGCCTTATGCTTCGGTAGAGATAGTATAGCTGTGCGTACTTCCTCTTCAGTGAAAGGACTGTCAAGGACCTCAGATTGTTGTTGGGTTAAGCATGGTAACTCTGTCGTTAAGGAATTGGATTATGTCTACATGGGATGGCTGGTAAAGTGAGGGATCTCCTAAGTTTTAGAGATTTGTGTAGTAACTAGCAAGTTCATTTTCTATATCTGTAGGATTGAACAGTTTAACATTCTGGCTTGACATTATGTATGGGATCTTAGTTTGTAGGTATCGATTCTAGAGCTTATTGGCTAACAGTCTTCCTGCTTTATTGTCTTGTGTGTAGTGTTTTAATTTGAGGGCCCTCAATTGCTTCTCTGTCATTCCTGTTTCTAGAGCTTTTATTTTATGTTTGATATTGCTAATCTGTTTTGAGAGGCGTCTTTGTCAAGCAAGGCTTCATTCAGGGGCGTGATCGGACCAAGTACGTTGGCATATAGAGACGTCTTTCACATTAGGACTTTTGTCCACCAAGCACATATCTATCCTGGAATAGGTTGAGTGCATCGGATAGAAAAATGTATAGTCTCGTTCTCTGCTGGACAAAGGCTTCACCAGGAATCATAAAGATCATAAGTGTGGATTAAATGGGATAAAGATTGGCTCTGTGAGAGCTTGGTATTCTCCCCGACTCATCTTTAAATTGGTCGAGCATTTGGAATACCCAGTCAGAGTGGAAAAATATGCATACACCTTTTGATTTGTGTGGTGATTGCGCGTGGAATGCTTGGGTGTCATTTTTTTGGTGGAAAAGGATAGGTTTGCTTGCACCGAAGTAAGTTTCCTGGAAGCAGATTATTGCAGTTTTGGATTTAGTCATCTACCGGGCAGCTTGTCTTTGTTTATAGGGGCAATTAAGCCCTTTCACATTGAGAGGCATTTAAACGTGTTCTCTGCCATAAATGTAAATGTATGGTGATTCGAAAGACCTGTGCACCACCGAATTGATTAAGGAAATACGCTATGTGGGCAGAATGTAAATATTCACCATGTTCACGTTTGTTCTGGAGCTTGGGCATATCGGGGAGAGTTGGGAGAGAACTAAAAACCATGGGACAAGGGGAAAGACAACTATCATGGAGGACAAATTGTCCGCACATGACTGGTAAAACTTATATACAGTCTCCTTGCTCTGAAAGCAAGAGCGGTGACCGAGATGGAAGCCTGCTTGCAACGTATTTTTGAAATTCAATAGCATAATGGAGATACTTTTGTCTGTGGCTGGGGTGTCCTCCGGGGAGAACTGAGCCTGATCTTGCTCTGAGGGTCCCTCTGAAGCAGGCGAGGTGACGCCTTCGTCGACATCTTGAATAGACTTGAGGCGATTTTGGAGCATAGGATCTGTGATCTTCAATTGTTTTGTGGGTGCCATTGGTTCCTTAGGGTATTGAGGAATCTTTTGATATAAAAATTATCAGTTTTTGGCCTATTGAAATGCTCTCACTCACAGACACACACACACATTCAGACACTCACAGACACACACTCACACATACACTGAGACACACACACACTCACACATACACTGAGACACACACACACTCACACATACACTGAGACACACACTCACACATACACTGAGACACACACACACTCATACATACAATACAGACACGCACACATACAGACACACACTCAGACACGTACACATTCCAACACACACAGATTATTCATATAAAATGTCCACCCAGCCTCCCTACCTGGAGAGCTGGCGCGGATCTGTCCCTGAGGTCCAGTGGGGCTTCAGTGCGGCGGGCGGCAAAGTTCCTGTCAGACACGGCGAGGGAACTTCTCTCTAATCTGTTCCATCGCGGGCTGTCTACTGATGCCGGGAGCCGGTATATGACATCGTATTCCGGCTCCCGGCATCAGTAGACAGCCCGTGATGGAACAGATTAGAGAGAAGTTCCCTCGCCGTGTCTGATAGGAACTCTGCCGCCCGCCGGGAGGGGCCATATGACAGGGGGAACACGGAGGGGGGCGTCATCTAGGCGGCCCATGGTCGCAGGGGCTGTGGCTGCGTTGTAGGTACACCACTGCACAAGCCTTTTTTGCTGTTTGTGTTCAAACACTATTTGCATCTCTGTCATTTATTGCACCAACACATATTATATACTGTTTTTTTAGAGGACAAACAGGGCTTTAACCCCTTAAGGACCAAACTTGTGGAATAAAAGGGAATTATGACATGTCACACATGTCATGTGTCCTTAAGGGGTTAATTTTATGTCACATATACATAGAGGAAGTCTCATTAATTATAAAAAAATAAAAAAAAAATGCCAACAATTGAAAAAAAAAAAAAAATATATATATATATTTTTTTTTTTTACCATTTTGGCAATAATAGCGTGTGGATAATATGTCCAGCTTAGAAAAAGTAATTCAAAATAAATTAATTTGTGTCTTGAGTTATAGCGTACATAATATGTATAGGATTTAAGCTTATTTTGAAAGTTACAGGTCACAAAATACAAGGACTAAAATAAAATTTCAATGTGCACCAATTTTAGAATTTGGTATGTTTGTCTTGTAGGTTTAGTAGCCATCACAGAAAACAAAATTGCCACACAAAAGTATATATTTATATAAAGTAGACATCACAGGCTATTTACCTAAGGTTAGTTTGACACTTTTTACGTAGCTAAATATTGGAGTAAAATTGTGTTTTTTCTCTATTTTGGCATAGACACATATAACAAGGTTTTTGTAATGTGTATTTCATAAAGCTGGTGTGTGCTATTCCTGCACAGAACCCCATATTGTGTTCAGCTACATCTGCTGAGTATAGCAATAACCCCATTGTTTGCTTTTGGCACTATTCTGTGAAGCTATAATGCCATATAAGATACCAGGCTATTTTAGTTCCTATAGTTGGAATTTTCGCAGATTGCTTTGACGGGCCTATGTCTCATTTTAGGGTATTATAGCAGTGTAACTGTTCAAATAACCCCACAATAGGCTTTCATTTGATAAAGCAGACACACCCCAGGGTATCCTTTATGGTGTATATTGTGTCTTAACTTGTCACCCTTTTTTCACCAAATTATGTCAATGTTTGTGGTGAGGGGAAAAAAAATAAATTTTTACATATATGTTGCATTTTTGCTGAGTATTTCTTACACTTGATATGTACCACTGTCATAAAAAAAAAAAACTAATTATTCTAAGTTACGTTTTCTGAGTAAAACAATATGCCCAATGTATGACCTAGTCACTATTTTGTGAAGTTACAGTGCTGTAAAAGAGTTGTAACAAGTTCAGGTTTTTAAGTGTGAATTTTCATGGAGGGTTTTGATGCGTTCATGTCCCACTTTGGAACACTTGAGCAGGCTACATATTCCAGCTACACCATGAAGGCATACCATTTCTTAAAGAAGACATCCCAGTTGTGATGAAAGCAACTTCGCCACTGGTTCTTGGAGGGGCATACTTGTCACCCCCCTACCCTGTGACTATGTCCCCTGTGATAAAACTTGGTTTAAATCACTGTTCGGGGCTTTTTGGATTTTTATGGCCATGGTTCGAACTTTCAAAGTGGCTCTTCAAACTCCTGAACAGTCAAAGTGGCCGCCATTCGACATTCGAACACGTGGTGGTGGCCATCTTGTTCGCATGGACCAAAACCGCGAATAGGTTTCAGGGGGACTTAGCCACGAATGCCCTGGAACTCTTTTTGGCAAGAAAACTTGTGGTTCACGGTCTGTCCTCCAGCGGCACTTAGCCGCGATTCTATGGAACTGTTTTGGGTATGGGACCATGCCTGGGCAAAACTATGACTTCCATAAAATTTCTGAACCCCTGATCTGGTTGATTTTTGGATATGTTGTTCACACAGATCAGGGCTAGGATGTAACATTTATGGGGATATGTCACAGGGAGAGGACACAACCAGTCTATGTCCCCAGCAGCAGTGGTCAAAACAGGGAGTGGAGACGGTCAGTCTCATTCCTCAGCAGCAGTGCGTGTTAAAGGGAGGGGAGAAAACCGCTCTCACTCCCCAGCGGCGGAGTGATCAGGGCTATGGGGATATGTTGTGTTTTGGGGTACTTATGAGACTTTGTAAAAATGTGTGTTTTTCTGCCTGGAGATTCAGTATCTACCTCAATTATCTCACAGGCAGAGGGGAGTGATTGTATGCTTGTTATGGTAGTGTCGTACATTTAATTACTGTTTTTATTGGTTTTTTAACTTGTGTCACCCTTGTTGGGAAAGTTGCATGAAAGGCCAGTGTGGCTCCATTAAAATTGAGTTCTGAAAAAAAAAAAGAACTCTGTGTGCCATAGAATTGTGTCAGAGATTTAATAACATGCAGCAGATATAGGCTGGTTGAAGATCAGAAGTCTTACATGTGGCATGAAATTGGAATTTGAAATTACCGTATATACTTGAGTATAAGCCGAGTTTTTCAGCACATTTTTTGTAAAAAAAATTGACCCTCAGGGGTTAAAGAAAAATCAGATCACAGTAAAATGAAGTACCGGCCAATTGATCACTGCAGTCAGTGATCAATTGGCACGGAAGGGGTTAATTTTAATTTAAAGGGACACTATAGTCACCAGAAAAACTACAGCTTATTGAATTTGTTCCGGTGAGTAGAATCATTACCTTCAGGCTTTTTTGCAGTAAACACTGACTTTACAGAGAAAATGCAGTGTTTTTAAATTACAGCCTAATGATAACTTCACTAGCCACTCCTCAGATGGCTGTTAGAGATCCTTCCTGGGTCATGGCTGCCTAAAATGCATCCAAACATTCAGTGTCTCCATCCTCTGCATGCAGACACTGAACTTTCCTCATAGAGATTCATTGATTCAATTCATCTCTATAAGGAGATGCTGATAGGCCAGGGCTGTGTTTGAATTGTGCTGGCTCTGCCCCTGATCTGCCTCTTTGTCAGTCTCACCCAATCCCATGCGGAAGCATTGTGATTGGATCAGGCCACCACTTCTGCTGATGTCAGCAGGCAGTGGGCAGGTCTAAAGCAAACAGGCACAATGCAAGCAGCTCCATACTGGAAAACAAGTAAGATTTACTATATTTAGAGGACCAGGGTGGTCAGATGGTGGTTTTAACCCTATAGGGTCAGGAATACATGTTTGTGTTCCTGACCCTATAGTGCTCCTTTAAAATGGGTAAAGGGGGTGGGATTTTAAACTAACTTTATTTTTTCTACACAGGGAGAACATCACTGCTGATCTGTCTCCCTGCATTTCACACTGACTGCGGAAGAGCAGGGAGGCGGATTAGAAGTCCCTGCATCATATGTGCTCGCTCTGAAAGGCTGTCAGAGCGATCACAGCTGCAGGGACAGCGCGATCGGGCACTCCTGGTCTGACAGGAGGAGCGTTAATACAATGCAAATATAAACAAGGCACAGTATCTTACATATAGTTCTGAATGCGTTAGTCTTTAAGGAATGTGGTCCTGTAATTAAAACAAAGAAAACAAACACTAGCACATTATTGTCTGAATATGAAAGTGAAAGTAAATAAAAATAGGTGTTAACACTCACAAATGTAGAGCCAGTGTTGGCTCAATCTATAAGCATTGTGGGATTATTCAGGGTCCCACTCCCTCTTCAGTATACTGTGGTATTAAACGATCATTGGTAGTATTCACCACTCCAGTGATTTTCAAAGTGCTTTATTTGCCAAACTCTTGTTTATTAGCAACTCTCTGCACTCCAGTACTCCGTGACAAGTCAGCCTACTGCTTCCAACCTCCAAAGGAGAAACAAAGGGGGAGACTGGGGTTAACTTTAGCACATGACGGACCTGGTCCGTCATCCGGAGTTAAGTGATTCCCCAGGATGACGGACCGGGTCCATCATTCGTCATTAAGGGGTTAATGGGTGGCCAGTGATAGGCTGAAAGCATGAACTTCCTCTTTCAGCCTATCACTATCTTAATATCTTCCTTACCAATGTTGTGGCTGGAACAGGATACAAAAGAGTTGAGCATACAGTGCCAAGAGAATAAGAAAAATAGTTTAACCCCGTAACGTAAGAGCTTTACACCCCATAGTGACTTTAGATGAAGTTGCTATGAGGGCTAGAGTGCTCCATTTAGGCCTTTACCAAAGGTGATGGCTTATAAGTACATTATGTTGTATGTTGTGATATTTGGATTATGTATTAACCACATATAGCTCATTTTACTTTGCATATAATGTTCAATTATACTGTTGTTTGGACACTTTTTTTTATTTAACAATACTTTTTCCAGCAGAATACAGGTCAATTCCTTGCATTCCAAAGATTCAGTCTTTGATAGAAAAAGCCTGGAAGGAAGGGTTCGACCCTCAAGGTGCCTCTCATTTCAACGGCAGATTACAGGGCACAAAAGCTTGGATTGGTGCATGTGAGATATACTGCCTACTGACCTCCCTGGAAATAAAGTAAGTTCTCTAAAGTTTATTATAGCAAAAACATTTTTTTAGAAATTATTTAAATTGCAATGTATTCCCCCTTCTTTAAATTGTGGGGTTTTACAAATGCTTTTTCTTTCTTCACTGGTCTGACAACACAGGATCAAGTTACTTTGGGGACATAAATATCATTTCAATAAAATGTAACAGGGTAATCTTTTGCTTGGATAAAAAGTACTTTTCCCCTATTCTTTTACCTCCTTTAAACAAAATCTGATTTATTTTACTTCGTAATCAAATAATAAAGGATTGTAAAAGCAGTTTACAGAACTGGCATGGGTGTTCATTTTTTCTTGTGGTCTAAACCTACATTGTTTAAATCTCCATATACTTTAAAACGCTTCCCCTAAGCAGTTTGAGCTTGGGGAAGTCTCATGAGATGCACTTTGTTAGAGAATTCTCATTCTTTTTTATCTCTTTTTGATCTTTGCTGTTTTTGAACAGACTTCAGAGTCCCTGGTGTAGGAATGGATGTGAGGTGGCAAATACCTGGGAATTTGTGTTTGCCTTCATTTTAGGTGTCATGTCATACACTTTAGTGATTGAATCCTGGCACACACTACTCCAAGCATGCAATCGACTTGGTTCTGGGGGGTGAAAAAAAAATCACTTTGTCTGCAGTAGACTGAAAATGAATGCTTACAAAATTCCCCCTTAACACCACCTACACACAACTCTAGTAGCAAAATCTGCCACAACCAAGGCAATTTGTGAATGGGTTGTATGGTATGGGTTGCTACATTGGAGAAACTGGGCTTAAGCTGCATCTCAGGATGAATCTACATAGACACTAAATAAAGAACCACGAGGAAAACTGATATTGTACCCCTGTTGGTCATCATTTCACCAAATCCAAAACCTCAGGATTAAAGTTCTTAAAGGGAATTTCAAAGACTCTTATGAACGAAAGACATTTTGAAATGAAAATGATCACACATTTCAACACCAGAAATGAAGGACTTAAAGGACCACTCTAGGCACCCAGACCACTTCAGCTTAATGAAGTGGTCTGGGTGCCAGGTCCCTCTAGGATTAACCATTTTTTTAAATAAACATAGCAGTTTCAAAGAAACTGCTATGTTTATAAAATGGGTTATTCCAGCCTCTAAAGCCTCTAGTGGCTGTCTCATTGACAGCCGCTAGAGATGTTTGCGTGCTTCTCACTGTGAAAATCACAGTGAGAAGACGCCAGCGTCCATCGGAAAGCATTATAAATGCTTTCCTATGAGACTGGCTGAATGCGCGCGCAGCTCCTGCCGCGCATGCGCATTCAGCCGAAGAGGAGGATCGGAGGCAGAGAGGAGGAGGAGAGCTCCCCGCCCGGCGCTGGAAAAAAGGTAAGATTTAACCCCTTCCTCTTCCCAGAGCCCGGCGGGAGGGCGGACACTGAGGGTGGGGGCACCCTCAGGGCACTATAGTGGTCCTTTATTGTCGACTCTAGGCTTTCTCATACACTGCCAACACTTTATATAAGCACACATATTAATGTCTTGTATAGTTTTTTTTTCAGTATTCTCACTTCACCTTTATTGGGTCAATTTACATACATACATATATGCAGCTATATGTTTGCATACCCTGCTCTGCTGTTTTTTGTTTGTTTGTTTGTTTTTTGTTTTTCTTTTCAATTAGCTTATTGACTCTCCTCTGTTTATTTACTTTTTCTTACTATTCTCAGCCAACCTACACCTTTCACCTTCAGGCACATCTTCTGCTTCTTAGGACACTCCACTCAAACCACCTCCTTCCCCTTCTCTAACATCAGTTGTTTTAAAGGGATACCATAGTCACCAGAACAACTACAGCTTATTGAATTTGTTCTGGTGAGTAGAATCATTGCCTTCAGGCGTTTTGCTGTAAACACTGTCTTTTCAGAGAAAATGCAGTGCTTACATTACAGCCTAGTGATAACTTCACTGGCCACTCCTCAGATGGCTGTTAGAGATCCTTCCTGGGTCATGGCTGCCTAAAATGCATCCAAACATTCAGTGTCTCCTCCCTCTGCATGCAGACACTGAACTTTCCTCATAGAGATTCATTGATTTAATTCATCTCTATGCGGTGATGCTGATTGGCCAGGGCTGTGTTTGAATCTGCCCCTGATCTGCCACTTGTCAGTTACAGCCAATCCTGTGGGGAAGCATTGTGATTGGATCAGGCTACCACTTCTGAAGATGTCAGCAGACTGCTTGTTTTTCTTTGAGGCAAACAGCATGCAGATCTACAGCTTCTGGTTGAATACAGTAAGATTTTGCTATATTTATATTTTATGAGGGGCCCAGGGGGGCTAGATGGTGGTTTTAACACTATAGGGTCAGGAATACATGTTTGTGTTCCTGACCCTATAGTGATCATTTAAGTGTTCTCCTCTATCAGATTGATTTGTATTGCTTCAGACCTGAGGAAGAGAAGAAAACTCTCGAGGCTTGTCTTTGAACTTATTATATTAGTCCAATAAAAAAAGGTATCATTGCATACTGCAATACTCTGATATTTTGTCATTATAAATATATATATGTGTGTGTGTGTGTGTATATATATATATATATAATATATTTTAAAAAATTGATCAATTGATTTACTTGCACAAAACAAACAAATTCTATGGTGAAATTAGACCATTGACCTCAAAGCCTTTACCCTATCTCCAGCGTCTAAACTGGCTCTGAGAAGGTATAGGGCAGAAGGTAGGCTTGACCATAGGAAACTTAGGGTGCCTACACCTGCCCTCTCCCTCTAACATTTTGGCTAATTTAAACAACAATCTTGTGGCGGGACCGCTGCCTGTTTGTGAATTGCTGTGTGCCATTTCTTGTGTTTTCCTCTATATTGTGCTGTATTCATGTGTTTTACCTGCTCCCCATTTGGGAGTCTCCATACGAAAGGGTTCTGTTCTCCTCCCGAACGGGGACCACCTCGATAGCCCATTTAGAATGTTTTTATAGAATGTTCACACCTCGCTAACGAGGTGTGAAAACCACAAACCGCAAAAGAAGCCTCGGCGCGTGCCGACCTTGGGTGGCGGCCCATTCGTTAAACGAACGCCATCCGGGGGAGGCATTCACAGATTATTTCCCACCTCGTTTGGCTCCTGAACGAGGATCTCCCTAGTGCTCCTTGGAGTGATCACACCAATCAATTAGAACGTTAGCACCTTGCAACATCAGTGTGAAACTGCAAGGGAAGTAATTGAGTGCTTCCCTGGGTGGCCTCCGTTCGTACAGACAAACGCCAGCCAGGGGGAGCATTCGTGTCCAGAAAGGAGATGCTTCCCTTGCCTGGTTTCACCCAGGGACCCAGTGAAAGGAGATGGTGTAAAGTTTGACAGGGACAACTTTGTGCCTGGTTTCAAAGAAAGAATTTACTTTGCAAATTTTTTCCTGTGATCTGACACATAGCATATTCCTACAGAACCAAATGAATCATTCTAGTTCTGTTATCAGCCATACCACTACACATCATATTTATGAACAACATTTCTACAGGAAAGAAAAAAAAAAAAAACATGATCGCTGGGCATGACACACATTACAATGGAAGGAAGGATTTTTGCCACACTGACAAAAAATGACTGCTCCACCCATGGCGTGATATATCTCAGACCAAGATCCACCATTATGTGATGAATTCCTATCCATATGATCCACCCATGTCATGACATCACATATGCTCCACCACTTTTCTATTCTTTTCATTATTAAAAAGGTTTATATATTGCAATTAAGTTAGCTAGTTGGAATAGTGGAGACTAGCTTTTCCTTGCTAAAGATTTTTTTTTACCAATCAAATCCAGAGGGAAAACAGAGCTGGAGAATTTTTTTCAGATAATTTTTTTTGCCTCCATTTAGATTTAATTAGCAAAATGGAAAGTGGGACCCCAATCTGAAGTTAATTTTTGTAGTTATTTTTTACTATCCATATGTGTGAGTACTTCTCATTATTTAGATTTTGAAAGCGGCAATGGTTTTTATTTTTAATTTATTGTACACTACATTTACAAGGAAGAATAGAGTTTCACAGTCAATATCCCATTCTCTGGAAGAAAATAAGATTCTAATTCTCTGTGCATAGTCTGGGTTTAGCTTCAGGATTTTATTTAGCGTTTACTGACCTGTAATATTTTCAATGTATTATTTTGTTACAGGTGTCAGATACTTGATTTCCATAAACCAAGCAGTCCATCAGGAACACACCCGCTCTTGTTTGAGTGGATTCAAAACTTCTACTCTTCTGGTGACTCATGCAGTAATGGGCGGGTGATATGTACTTCCAAACCTGCTATTTACCTTCAGCATCAAGGTACAACACTCTTCATCTCCTTCTCTTACTTGCATGCTCAGCTGTTGGTATAATTATATGCAACATCGTTATATAATTGGTGAACATGCCTGACATTTAAAAGGGCACTCTAGTCACCGGAACAACTACAGCTTATTTTATTTGTTCTAGTGAGTATAATCATTCCCTTCAGGTTTTTGGCAGTAAACACTGTATTTTCAGAAAAAAGGGCAGTGTTTACATTACAGCCTAGGGATACCTGAACTGAACCACTTCTCAGATGACCAGATGAGAGGATGCAGCCAGATCCAAACAGGCTGGGTGGTTATCCTAGGTTCTCCCCTGGAGTTGTGATATCAGGAGTTCCAGAGGGACTCCTTCAGATATCTGCTAGTGCCAACTAAACGTTTAGCACTAGCGGTGATTTCAGCAGGTGGTGAGGGGCAGACCTCAATTTACTCCTTGGAGGAAGTGATCTCAGATCACTGCCTCCCAGCACATGCGAACGGGAATCCGGACTTGAATAGTGCAGCATGCAGAAGCCACTGTCCTTAACCTGAAAACCAGCCAAAAAGACAGACAGACACACATATATATGCAGAAGAAACCTCCCCCACACACAAATAATAATAAAATAAACACACACAAACCCCAAGCAGCACCCACATATGCACATAACACACACACACACACACTACCACAAGCTCGTATACAAACATATAACATGATCCGCTGCCCACATACATATGTATTACAGACAATATCACAGAATGTTCATGCACAATACAAAACAGCATTTATATGCACAAATACAACCATAAAAAGCAACTGCACACCCATACATAACAAGCAGAATGCGGCAACTCGCTGAGGAACGTCAATGTCCTTTTTTGGCACAGTGCTACTAAAAGGTTGCCTAACCCTTGTGTAGATACAAGCTACTTCTTATGTAGTTTGATTTCCCTCCTCTTTTAGATTATTATTGGTATTTATATAGCGCCAAACTAATTCCGCAGCACTTTACAATATTATGAAGGGGTGGAAGTTTTACAATAAATTAGACTATTACACAGAGACACGTGAACAATATGTAGATGAGGACCCTGCTCAAACGAGCTTACAATCTAGAGGAGGTGGGGTATAAAAACACAATAGTGTGACAGCCACCAAACAAGATGGAAAAGTAGCAGAACTGGAGTTGAAAGTGGAGTGTGGCTCTCTAGGAGAGCAAGAGACCGGTATGGATAAGTAAAGTTAAGTTATGGTAGTCCATAAGCATTTCTGAATAGATGTGTTTTTAGAGACTTCTAAACTAGGGGAGAGTCAGATGGGGGTAAGCAGGCTGTTCCAAGCCGCCCGCGAAAAGTCCTGCAATTGCGAATTAGCAGTAAGAGTGCGAGCAGCGGACAGGACAAGGTCACCGGCAGGGCGGAGTGACAGAGCAGGAGCATATCTATGACTCAATTAAGAAATGTAACCGGGGCTAGAGTTTAAAGTTTTATAGGTAAGGGTTAGTATTTTGAATTGACACAGAAAGCCAGTGTATGTATTTACAGAGGGGGCAAGGTATGGAAGGAGCGACTGGTGGGAAAGATCAGCCTGGCGGCAGCATTCATTACAGATTATAGCAGGGCAGTTCAGCTTCTGGGGAGACCAACAAGGAGAGAATTAGAGTAATCCATGCGAGAGATTACCAGAGTATGAACACGCTCCTTGGCAGCCTCTTACGTGAGAAAGGGGTAATGTTTTAGAGGTTGAATCAACAGGTTTTAGCAGCATACTGGATATGAGGCTCAAAGGTGAGGCCAGGATCAAAGATAACACCAAGACAACCAGCTTGCAAGTACCATCAATTTGCAGGGATTGCGAAAGAGGAGGATCAGCATTATGAGGATGAAAAAATAAGAAGCTCAATTTTAGAAAGATTGAGTTTCAGAAAGCGAGAGGACATCCAATCAGAGATTGAAGAAAGGCAAGCAGTGACACATTGTGTAGGACCGTAGGGGAGGAGAGATATATCTGGGTGTCGTCGGCATTCAAATGGTAGTGGAATCCAAAGGAGTTAATGAGTTTGCCAAGGGAGAACAGAAGGGGACCAAGAACAGTTCCTTGGGGGACTCCAAATGAGACAGAATGAGGGGAGGTGGTGTCATTTCAAAAGGAGACACTGAACGAATGTTGGGAGAGATAGGAGAACCATGAGAGGACAGTGTCACAGAGACCAAGGGATTGAATAGTTTGGAGAAGTAGGACATGATCAACAGTGTCAAAGGCAGCAGAGAGGTCAAGAAAAATTAGTATGAAGTAGTGGCCTTTGGATTTAGCTGTGATTAGGTCATTTGTAAGAGCAGTCTCTCAGTAGAGTGTAGGTGGCAGAAGCCAAGTTGAAGAGGATCGAAGAGGGAGTTGGAATTTAGGAAGTAAGTCATGCGAGTAAAGACAAGTCTTTCTAATAGCTTTGAGGAAAAAGAGAAGCAGGGATATGGGACAATAGTTGAAAGGGGAAGACGGGTGAAGATGAGCCAGCAAAACTTTTCCTACAGTTGCTGCATTTGTATTTTTTCTACTGTTTGTATTGCTCGATAGCATTTGTTTCAAAGCTTCTAAACATTACTATTATTTTTGCCACTGTATGAGCATTATTTACTGTATAACCAACTTTAGCATCATTTTTACTTTAGTCTGGATGTTCTAGATTTATGCATAACTCGTGTATGTTTTATCATATTCCATGTTTTACTGTATGGCAAATTGACACTATAGTCGCCTAGACAACTTTAACTTAATGAAGCAATTTTAGTGTATAGATCATGCTTCTCAGGTTTCACTGCTCAATTCACTGCAATTTAGGAGTCAAATCACTTTATTTCTGTTTATGCAGCCCTTGTCACACCCCCTCTGACTCTGATTGACACAGCCTGCATGAAAAAAACTGGTTTCACTTTCAATCAATGTAATTTACCTTTAACAATTGCAGCTCTTTCTCTGTAAATTGAACTTTAACCACATACAGGAGGCTCTTGCAGGGTCTAGCAAGCTATTAAGATAACAGGGAATAATAAAATCTAAATTAAACAGATCTTGCAATAAAGGAAGTATAAACTTTAGATGACTCTTTACAGGAAGTGTTTAGGAAGGCTGTGCAAGTCACATGCAGTGTGGTGTGACTAGCTTTCATAAACAAAGTGATTTAACTCCTAAATGGCAGAGAATTGAGCGGTGAGACTTCAGGGATATGATCTATACACCAAAACTGCTTCATTAAGCTAAAGTTGTTTTGGTGACTATAGTGTCCCTTTAAACAATATGAAATCTACAGGAGCTTTACATAAGTAAAAATACTGGAAATGTTTTTTTTTTCTTATTTCTGCAGGTCATAGTCGGACGATTGTGGGAATAGAAGAGCGGAAAAATAAAAGCTATTGTCTTTTAATATTTGATCCTGGATGTCCAGTTGAAAGTATGCGTAAGCTGCTGAGGCAGAATATAGATGGAACAGCACTTAAATCCCTCCGTAAATATATTGGGAGCTTAAAACATAAGCAATACCAGATAGTGGCAGTAGATGGAGTATTATCTGCAGAGGAAAAGGCTGTAAGTATTCTGGTTGTTTATTTAGCATATATATTTTGACTAACAGTTTTTCAACAGAAAGTGATGTTCATATAATTTTTATAGACGTCATCTTAAAAAAAATGTTAAATTATATCTGCCATGCAAAAATCACATGTTAAAACTATATTTAAAAAAAATCACAAAATTGAGGGGAATAAAGTGAAGAGTGCAAACACACGAATATGAGAAGGTACACTAAACAGATCAATGAAGCAAAACGTATTATCTTAAATGATAATACGTTTTAAGATATGTTCAGGAACACAATCCTATAGTGTTAAACTAACTAGCCTACCTTTCCCCCCCATAAAAGGATGCTATCGGCACCCAGACCACTTCAGCTTGTTGAAGTGGAAAAATTCGAAATGCCTCGGTTTACGAATTTTTTTCGCAATACGAAACAAGTGTCCCGGTTTATAGCTCCGCTCCCCTGCATACTGGAGTCTGGGTAGCACCTGAGTGTGGAGGTTTTGGAGCGATTTGCAGCAAGTTTTGGAGCCATTTGCAGCAAGCTGTGGAGCCTTGTGGAGCTTTTTGCAGCAAGTTGTGGAGTCTTTTTGGTGCATATCAAGAGGTGGAAAGGTAGGGAGCTGAGCTTAGTTGTTTGCATGCCTTTCACTGTGTGTTCTGCATTGTCGGGTGATTTCCATGCCAGCTCATGTGCTTTGCATGCCTGTTACTGTGTGTTTTGCAATGTGGGGTTGTTTTCCATGCCAGCTCATGTGGTGTGCATGCCTGTTACAGCTCATGTGCTGTGCATGCCTTTTACTGTGGTTTCCATGCCAGCTCATGTGCTGTGCATGCCTTTTACTGTGGTTTCCATGCCAGCTCATGTGCTGTGCATGCCTGTTACAGCTCATGTGCTGTGCATGCCTTTTATTGTGGTTTCCATGCCAGCTCATATGCTGTGCATGCCTGTTATTGTGTGTTTTGCATTGTGGGTTTGCTTTCCATGCCAGCTCATGTGCTGTGCATGCCTGTTACTGTGTGTTTTGCATTGTGGGGTTGTTTTCCATGCCACCTCATGTGCTGTGCATGCCTGTCACAGCTCATATGCTGTGCATGCCTGTTATAGTACTGTACTGTGTGTTTTGCATTGTGGGGTTGTTTTCCATGCCAGCTCATGTGGGTGTAAAGCATTTTTTTTTTTTTTTTGCATACTTAGTGACGGTGGTGTCAGAGAAAATACAGTGTTTACATTACATCCTAGTGATAACTTCACTGGCCACTCCTCAGATAGCTGTTAGAGATCCTTCCTGGGTCATGGCTGCCTAAAATGCATCCAAACATTCAGTTTCTCCTCCCTCTGCATGCAGACACTGAACTTTCCTCATAGAGATGCTGATTGGCCAGGACTCTGTTTGAATCATGCTGGCTCTGCCCCTGAACTGCCTCCTTGTCAGTTACAGCCAATCCTATGGGGAAGCATTGTGATTGGATCAGGCTACCACTTCTGATGATGTCAGCAGACTGCTTGTTTTTTTGAGGCAAACAGCATGCAGATCTACAGCTTCAGACTTGAATACAGTAAGATTTTGCTATATTTATGGAGGCATGAGGGGCCCAGGGGGGCTAGATGGTGGTTTTAACACTATAGGTGTTTTTGTGTACCTGACCTTATAGTGATCCTTTAAAATTTTATGTGTTAACGTGAAGCAATTGTTTTTTAAAAAAATAACTTTCAAAAAAACTTGATATATAAAGTGCATAAGTGAAGCTCTATTTTTTTATTAAAGTAAACTATAAAATGTGTCAAGTGCACATAAATAAATTACACTATAATTAATCAGGTGTAACAATACAATTACAGTGGGACCTCGGTTTACAAATTTAATGCATGCTACGGGATGTTTCTTATTGCGAAAATTTTGTAAACCAAAACGCGGTTTACCATAGGTATGCATTGAAAACCAATTAATCCATTCTGGAGGTTAGAAAAAAGTCAAAATGAGCTGGCATGGAAACCAACCCACAATGCAGAACACACAATAAAAGGCATGCAAATGACGAAGCTCAGCTCCCTACCTTTCCACAGCTTGAGAAATGCACCAAAAAGTCTCAAAACAACTGAAAACAATTCCCAGAATGGCTCCAAAACTCGATGCAAAAGCCACTCCAACACCTCCACACTCGACGTGGCGAGGCTCCAGCATGCAGGGGGCGGTGCTATAAACCTCCCAGGTGCAACTTGCTTTGTATTGCGAAATTTTTTTGTAAACCAAGGCATTATTTTCAATGGATTTTCATTTGTAAACCGAAAATTATGTTAACCGAGTCATTTGTAAACCCAGGTCCCACTGTAACTATATTAATATTAGATAGCCGCAACAGAAGAATAAAGTAGCCGTACTTTGATCAGAAAGACAGTTTTCAGCGTGATTAGAAATCTGTAACTAGCAACTTAGGTTCTTGCAGTTCAGACAGTTCAGGTACTCATCTGACAGGAAAAGACGGATCTTCCTTTCTATTTAACTTGTCTGATCAGCTATCTGCTATGAGCTACTTAGGTTTAGCAGTCCAGGTTAGATCAGTGATTTATTTGACAGGGCTGTTCTCTCCACGATTTATTTAGTTTATTATCCTGAGTCTCCACACCCCCAATGTTTCGGTACCAACCGGATGCCTTTATCAAGGGTACCTGTATCCATGTTCTAGAGGACTTTATAAACGGACACATTAGAACATGGATACAGGTACCCTTGATAAAGGCATCTGGTTGGTGCCAAAACGTTGGGGGTGTGGAGACTCGTGTTTCTGTCCTGAGGCTGGTTAGAATCTTTTTGACATTGTAATATTGTATTTGCCCTTGCTTCATTCATCATTTATTTTTTTATATTTGTTTGATTGTAGTATATTTTGTATACAATAAATTTATGCTTTTGATTATTCATAGTTGTTATGGCGTGCATTCTGTATATTGCAAAGGCATTAGATTTAGTCAGGTTCTGCACTAGCCATTTTCTCTGTTTCAATTATTATTTAATATTTGGACAGTAATGCTATAGATATGTCTGGTTAATAGTGCTTATGCTTTCCTAGCTTCCAAGGCTTGCCAGCACTGGTTAAATATGTTTTTTCTGTACTAGCAAAGATGATTCACTTAGCTACCTTCAGAGGTAGCCACTTTAATCCACATTGCATTGCTATTCAAAGCTCTTAGCAATACTGGCTAATTAGATACATTGTCTCCACGATCACATTCTTTTGGAGAAGCAGCTATAGTGTTTCTTTCATCATTCCTAGCAGTCACTGCACGGATTCCAGCAGGATAATTAACAGCTTTATTACTGTCTATACAAATTATCACGCTTGAGGAAATACCTGTTTTTTAATATGTATTTTTGTATATACTTCCCTTTCTATACCTATGTCTCTACCCCCTTCCTTTTTGGTTTGATGTTGTGTTATTTACCAAGAGCTAGACATCCCTCTAGCCCTTTTTATTTGATATATTAAAAGTAAATTTTTAACAATCATATATGCCACTGGACAGTTCAGTCTTTTTCTGTTTTTTCATTCAATTCTAAGGGTTATCCCCTATTATAACTGTCCTCAGTATTTTATATTTGTTTCAGTTTTTATTTGAACTAATTAATTAGCCACAACATTACAACCACCTGCCTAACATTGTGTAGGTCCCCCTCGTGCTGTCAAAAGAGCTTTGATGCATGGACTCCACAAGTTGTCTGAACATGTCCTGTGGTATCTGGCACCAAGGCATGAGCAGCAGATCCTTTAAATCCTACTAGTTGCAAGGCAGGGCCTCTATGGATCTGATTAGTCGTTATAGCAAACCCCACAGATGCACAATCAGATTGAGATCTGGGGAATTTGGAGGCCATGGCAAAAGTTGAACTCTGTCATGTTCCTCAAAACATTTCTGAATAATTTTTGTAGTATGGCAGGATGCATTATCCTGCTTAGAGAGGCCACTGCCATCAGAGAACACCATTACCATGTAGAGGTGTACGTAGTCTGAAACCATCTCTAGGTAGGTGGTATGTGTCAAAGTAACATCCAGATGAATGACAGGACTTGAGGTTTCACAGCAGAACATTGCCCAGAGCATAACACTGCCTTCTTCCCATAATGTATTCTGCTGTGATCTCTTCCCAGGTAAACTACACACATGCAACTGGCCATCCGCCTGATCTAAAAAATGTGATTCATCAGACCAGGCAAATTAATTCCTTTACTCCATTGCCCATTCTGACTCACATGTCCCCATTGAAAGCACTCTCAGCGATGGACCGTGGGAACTCTGGCCCGTCTGCAGCTACCTAGATCTTTACACCGCAATATGCATTGCATTGTGCATTCTGACTAATTTCTATTATTGCCAGCATTGTTTTCCATCAATTTGAGCTACAGTAGCTGTTTGGTGTGAACTATAAGCTGCATCAATGAGTCTTGGGCACTCATGACCCTGACACTGGTTCATCTGTTGTCACCACTTTTAAAAGGATCTGACAACTGCATACCGTGAACATCCCACAAGATTTGTCATTTTGGAGATAATCTGACCCAGTCGTCTATCCATCACTATCTGACCCTTGAACAGACTGTTCATTTGCTGCATAATATATTCCACCCCATGACAGGTGCCATTGTAATGATATAATTATTCACTTCACCTGTCAGTGATTTTAATCTTGTGGCTGCTCAGTGTAGTTGTACATCCTCCATTTTCTTCCATCTCCACACATGATCTCTAGCTATTACCCAGGGTGACCAAGTTCTTTGTCATCTCTCTTACCAATGTCCTTCTCCCCCAATTGCTGGATTGGTCGTAAAAGTGTAGAACATCTCAAAGATGACCCACAGAAACTAGAGGCTTCCTAGCTAAATTTCAAGTGTCATAGCAAGGGGTCTAAATACTTATGAAATATTTCAGTTTTTATGTTAACATAAACTGCATAGTTTAAAAAAAATATATCTAGTTTTTGATTTGTCATTATGGGCTTTTGAATGTAGTTTGACGTAAAAAAAAAAAATTAAAACAACTGCAGTATAAGGCTGCAACATAAAATGTGAAAATAACAATGAATGCACACATGACACACACACATATATATACAGACACATACATACAAACACACATGCACCCTTCTGTTTCCTACCTTTTAGGTGCAGGAGGGTGACTTCCCTAGGGTCCAGTGGCTGGCTGCAGCTGATGCGAGTAAGAGTTAGCACTCTGACTCCCTCCTCTTTTTCTCCCATGCGGCTCGGTTGTTGCTGGGTGGAAGTGACCAAGGCAGTCACTTCCTCCCATCATCTGACCTCATCACAGGGGGCCCGGTCACGCTATTAAAGATCCAGCATACTTACTCATCCACTAAACAGCAACTTCAAAGCTCACAGATTTTATTAGTTCTTTATTTTTTTAAAAACACATAATGTAGGCAAAAATAATGGTGGTTTAGTTACAGTATATGATCATCCATTGCATAAGCCTGTCACAATGTCAATGTACCCCCTCTTTGGCAGATCCTACTCTAACAACCTAATGTACACTCTTATGAGATTAACCCACTGGGGCTCTCTGCAGTACAAAGTTAAATAGGGCCAAGGAGTTGTCACACGCAGACAACATGAATGGATGCACTAAATAAATGTAAATAAAAAAAAAAAAAGTCCAAAAACAGACACAACACCAGAGTTATCAAAAAGAGTTGAATAAAATGTTTTTAAGGTTCTTTTAATATTTTTAAAAGATGTGAACATATTCACAGTCTTCTACCCTGTAACCCAAAATACTTTAATGTTGTTTTAGCTGTTTACTTTAGCATACTAAGAGCTATTTTATTCGTAATATTGTTATGTCTGTATACTATCTGAGGTTTATTGTGAATATGGTAATGTAATAAATCTTATTGCATAATCTAATGTTTCTCTACAGTATTCTTAAAGGAACATTCCAAGCACCATAACCACTATAAGACGCTGTAGAGAATATGGTGCCAGGAAGCCCCCTAATGATGTCCAAGGGTACATCAATAAACTATTTAACCCCTTCCCGACCCAGGACGGTTCAGGACCGTCATCGGGATTTTCCCATTGCGGACCGATGACGGTCCTGAACCGTCCTAACGGTTTCCGTTACTTACCTGATCGCCGTCGTTCCCCCGGCAGCGATCAGCGTGGCTCCGGTTGTGGGGAGACTGCCTGCAGCCCAGACAGTCTCCCAACACTGATTTAGGACCCCTGTGGCCATGTGATCGCTTAACACAGCGATCACATGGTCACAATAGGTGTCCTAGTGTCTGCCTGCAGGGGGACTGTCTGTGCTGACAGGCAGTCTCCCTGCTAGTGTAAAATCAAAAATAAAATAAAGTTAATGTTAATAAAAAAAATAATAATTATATATGTGTATATATGATATATAGACATATTATATCTATATAATATATGTCTATATATCATATATATATAATGCCATACTAAGTGTATTTTTATATTAATATGTACTTATATTAATATAAAAATACACTTATAATTAAATTACACACGTATATATAATATATATAATAACTATATATATTGTATATATATATTATTATAAAATATAAATAATAAGTAATTTAAATTAAATAAAAATTTTTTTAAATAATAATAAAAAATTTAAAAAAATTATATAGCTATATGAAATTTTATTCTAACTGTATTTTAAAATTAATATATATATATTTATATCAAAATACACTTAGAATGAATTTGTATATATATCTATGTATATAAAAATAAATAAAAATAATAATTACATATGTCCATATACAAAATTACATTATATAACTTATACGTAGACTTCAAATATATAAATATGCATATATATTTAAATTCGATGCGTATTTATATTAATATATTTTTACATAATTCAGTAATTTTATTGATTGCAATTTGAGGGACCTGCCTGCCAACGGGCGAAATTCAGAGAATTTAATTTGCTATACTGTATTTTTACCCTGTAACGTTCTCACGACACCCTAAAACCTGTACATGGGGGTACTGTTTTACTCGGGAGACTTTCGCTGAACACAAATATTAGTGATTCAAAACAGTAAAACATATCCTGGCGATGATATTGTCAGTGAAAGTTACTTTTTTTGCATTTTTCACACACAAACAGCACTTTTACTGATGATATAATTGTTGTGATACCTTTTCCAGTTTTCCACTAATATTTGTGTTCAGCGATGTCTCCCGAGTAAAACAGTACCCCCCATGTACAGGTTTTATAGCATTTTTGAAAGTTACAAGGTCAAATAGATGGGTCAAATATTTTTACATTGAAAATGGCCAGGTTGGTTACGTTGCCTTTGAGAGCGTATGGTAGCCCAGGAATGAGAATTACCCCCATGATGGCATACCATTTGCAAAAGAAGACAACCCAAGGTATTGCAAATGGGGTATGTCCAGTCTTTTTTAGTAACCACTTGGTCACAAACACTGGCCAAAATTAGCGTTCAATTTAGTTTTTTTACTTTTTTCACACACAAACAAATATGAATGCTTACTTTGGCCAGTGTTTTCGACTAAGTGGCTACTAAAAAAGACTGGACATACCCCATATTGAATACCCTGGGTTGTCTACTTTAAAAAATATATGTACATGTGGGGTGTTATTCAGAGATTTATGACAGATAATAGTGTTACAATGTCACTATTGATAAATTTTAAAAATGTATGTTTTGAAACCGCAATATCCTACTTGTACCTATAGCCCTATAACATGCAAAAAAAAGCAAAAAAGCACGTAAACACTGGGTATTTTTAAACTCAAGACAAAATTTTGAATCTATTTAGCAGTTTTTTTCATTCGCTTTTGTAGATGAGTAAAAGATTTTTCAAGTAAAAGTCAAAAAACATGTATTTTTTTCAATTTATCATATTTTTTTATTTTTTTTTAAATTAAAATACATGAGATTATATAAATAATGGTATGTAAAGAAAGCCCCTTTTGTCCTGAAAAAAACAATATATAATTTGTATGGGAACAGTAAATGAGAGAGCGGAAAATTACAGCCAAACACAAACACCACAAAAGTGTAAAAATATGCCTGGTCGCAAATGTACAACATCGCAAAAACAGTCCAGTCCTTAAGGGGTTAAACAACTTAACTGTGTTGTGCTGGGTACCTGCCCCCTGCTGAAAAAAAGCTCAGTTCTTTGCCAATAACCTGGCAATTCACAGATCCAGAGGAGGATGCGCTTGGCAGACCCCATGTGAGTTTTCAAACTGTTCTAAACAGTTTGTCTATTTACTCTGAGAGGATGCCAGGGCACTAATCTGATCAGCCTTGAAAATAAATGAAGTTAAATCTGCTTAAAATTAAAGCTTACTGCATAATATTTTGTTGTTTTTTCTTATCTCTTGTTTTTGGACTTCTCTCTATTGTACCTTGCCCTGTGCCTTGCAACAAAGTTTATTTTGGTTTATTCGCAGCATCCTAGAGAAAGTAATAATTAATCCAAAAAGATTTACACATAATCTTTCCTCGGATTCTAGCAGAATCATTCACAAGTGTGGAAATTGAGAAGTAGCTGAACTTTAAAGAGATTCTATAGTGTCAGGAAAACAAAGCAGTTTTCCTGGAACTATATGCTCCTGCAGTGCCCCCCTTCCTTGCGTCCTCACTCCTGAGGCGCTTAAGGGGTTAAAACCCCTTCAGGATTAAAGGGGTTAAAACCATTTACCTAAGTCCAGCGCCAGTGTCCCTCGGCTCTGGGTCAGGCTCCGCCCATGCTCCTGGTCGCGCTTGCATTAAGATACGCAGAGCGTGGGGACGTCCAGCATAAGATAACGGATCAAAGGTCCCTTTTGATTCCGTAAGTCCCTCTAGTGGCTGTCTGGTAGTCCCTCTAGTGGCTGTCTGCACAGCACAGACATTTTCTATTTCAGCAATTATCACCTTAAATTGGAAATTCTCTTTGAATTCTCACTTTAGCGAATAACACTGTAAGTCTCTCCATCTTGTTGATGAATGTGTATGTTGCAAAATTTATCTAAGGTGTCATTTTGTTTTTCATTTATTCTTCCACCTTAAAACCAATTAGCAGAATTGTAACTTTGTACATCTATGTAAAAGGACATTCCTGGTACATAAGATGGAAGAATCCTGAAATAATCTTGTTATTCTTCTGAAGTACCGCTCCAGCCTACATATTACACTTGGAAAACTACCTCTACTTGTTTCTGAGATGTACATGTTTTCCATAGCCCAATTTGTCTTTCATTAACGAAGAGTGCTTCTCATTAATCTTCTCCTACCATGGCGTTGGCCACTATGTACACAAAGGGAGGTATTAAAGTACAGTGGGACCTCTGTTTACGAATTTAATGCGTTCTCCGGGACGTTTCTTATTGCGAAAAATTTGGAAACCTAAACGCGGTTTTCTATAGGAATACATTGAAAACCAATTAATCTGTTCTGGAGGTCAGAAAAAAAGTCAAGGGGCGTGGTCTGACCGTCGATGAGACCAGACGTGCTTCACTAGAGCTCCGTCCCAACGGCGCCAAAAGCAGACAAAAGCGACCTTTTTAAGGCATTCTCCCCCTTACTAACCTATGCAGGATGGAAAAAAGACTCCCCAAGAAACAAGCGAAGAGAACTGCGGAGTCCAGCGGCTCCGTTCTGGACCTGCTCACAGCCCATCGGCACGGCCGGGCCGACAGCCAAGATGGCGACGGAACATCTCCACATGCGTCGCCCGGCGCAGACAAGGAGGCACTATCCGCGGAACAAAGCACTGTTCTCGCAAAATTGGCGGAGGTGAGATCGTTCCTTGCTGGGGAAATAGCCAAGTCAACGGCTGTTCTGCAGGCCGACATAAGTGCCCTGGGAGAGCGCACGGCGAAATTGGAAGACCGCATGGAAGCGACAACTCAGGCCCACAATGAGGCAGCCGACCGGATAAATCGCATGACAATGCATATGCTCGACATGGATTTAGCCCTGGAAGATATGGCAAATCGTTCTCGGAGAAACAATCTCCGCATAAGAGGCTTGCCTGAGGAGTCGGATGAAGACCTGCAGGGCCTTTTAACATCAGTCTTTAGGCCGCTGCTCCCACACATCCCAGAGGAACAGTGGCACATGGAGAGAGCTCACAGGGCGATGAAAACGCAGAGGGCCGAGGCCAACGCCCCGAGGGACGTAATAATAAAATTCCTCTACTTCAAAACAAAAGAAGCCCTGATGAAAAAGAGTCGTGAAGGGCCGATCCGGCACGCCGGAGCCACAATATCTTTTTTCCAAGACCTGGCTCCCTCGACATTACAACGGAGGAGAGACTGGCGGCCCATAACCGGGGCTCTGCGAGGAGCAGGCCTGAGATACGCCTGGGGCTTCCCTTTCAGGCTAATGGTGTTCCGCGAGGGGAGAGCCCACGTCCTGTCACCAGGTGGAGATCCGAAGCGCTTACTCCAGGGCTTGGGAATCCAGTCCCCCCCAGACCTACCTGATCTGACGATGGGCCCGGCGGAGCTTCCACAACTTCAGACGGAGTGGCGTGGAGTGGGGCCCAGAAGCCAGCGCTAAAGAATAGCGGTATCGTATTCAGAGTGACTCGATATGAATGTTTCTTCTGTCCAATCCTCTATTTTTGGTGATGGGGCCGTTTTTTTCTCGTTTTCTGATGGGTGGGGGACGCGGGTGTGGGATCTCAGCAGAGCATGCAGAGCTTGGGGGGGGTCTCCGGGTGTGTCTCTTGCCTTTTTCTTGGCCAGTCCCGGGATCTATATGTAGCTCAGCGGATCTGACAGCGCCCCACTACGCCTGTTATTCCAGAAACACATTATCACATTGTTTGGGTGGGAACGAGGGGGTGGCGGGTCAGTCCCCGGTCTCCCCCCTTTTTACCCCTATTTTTGTCCCGTGGTCCCTCCTTTTTTCCCCTGCCCACCCCCACCCTTAACAGGGATGCCTGAGGATCTCCTGGCCTCCCGTCGGGGCCATTGGGGCTCTTAGGATTAAGGGTCTCCTTTCCTATCGGCCGGTATCGGGTGAAGACATCTGAGAGAGACAATCGGAGGGTATTAGACACCCCAGGACAGGTTCGGTGTATCGTTGTGTTATTCTATTGTACTGCTGGTGCGATCACCGGATCTATGCAGAGTTAAATGGAGGTTGCGGGAGGGTGATATCATCCCCTTTTTTGTCTGTCTCTAACCTGCTCATTAGTTAAATGGTACCGAATATTGCTCAAACAGAGGGAGGGGAAGGGGAAGGGAAAAGAGAAACAAAGGGAAAAAAAAAAAAAAAAAAAAAAAAAAAAAAAAAAAAAAAAAAAAAAAAAAAAAAAAAAAAAAAAAAAAAAGGGGAAGAGTGAGAGGGGGACGGTACAGGGGGGAGGTCACGAGGGAGAGGAGAAAGGTCAAAAGTGGTTCACTACTTTCTAGATACATGTATACAAGTGGCACTAAAATGAGTGCTTGCTATTAGACGACACAATTCTCATCGAGAGTCTCCCCTACGGGATGGGTCAGACCTGCAAATGCTACACCAATAGCCCCTCCCAGAGTACAGGTGGTGGCAGAATTCCACATTCCCTGTCTTAGATAGCTACACCCCCCATTATAAGCATCATTAACGTCGGTGATAAGCACCTCTACATTTCCGTACAACATGGTTCTCCCGGGCACTTGGCTAGGGAGATACAGGCTGGGAGTGTACATTTGTGGGCCCTTTTGGCACAATCAGCTGTCCCCCTGTGCGGCTGCTTGCCCCCTCTGGCAGGTCCGATGACCGTGGCTTGCGAGGCCTGGCCATGGGGGGCGACCATACGAACGGGGGAACATTAAACTCTGACAGTGGGGCGGTTTTTTTGGGTGCCCCCGGCAGGGAGAAAATGATGTGGTGCTGGCACATAATAGAGTATTACCTGTCTCCCCAATGTACGATTGCGCCATATGATCCCGGAGAGGGACAATTGTAATGAGATACAGGGGATTTTTATTCACGTGGCAGAGAAAACTCAAAGCGATATACGGCTCGTAATGAACGTACTTAGTTTGATCTGCCTGCACCATTATTATTAGCTTGTCTGATACTTACGATATGGCATCCCTGGATGCATCCTTACGCATAGTTTAGTACAATCCCCCACTCCATAACACCCGATCAACCTCGGGGGTCATGAACAAACTGCTGAACGTAAGAATTGGCTCTTTACGGGCACGAGGGCGGTATGGGTCTGGGGGGGCCTGTAGATGGGAGATAGACAGACAGAAGCGGGATTGAGGGGTCAGAGGGAGAGGGGGGGAGGGAGGATGAGGGAGAAAGGGACAACGGGGAGAAAAAAAAAAAAAAGCAAAAATAATGAAAAATAACAATGTTGTCAAATGGCAAAATATTAACCAAGGACCAAATGCATTGTATGTTACGTATTAATAGAGCTGAACCTACTAGCCTGTAACACGTTTATTAAAATGTGATCTGTAAATAGTTTCATTAGAATTTAGTGCTTCCTTTGTCCCAGTGGTGTAACAGCGGAGTGGAGGGAAATAAACGTGGGTTGGCGACCCCGATAGCACAGGGCCTTGAGCCCAGACAGTTTGATTTACTCACTGGGCCCAGGCAGGGCGGAGTATTTTTGCGAGGGCTCCGCGATCAGCATCAGAACACATGGGGGGCGGGAAAGATACCCCCAATAGACTGGGTGGCGCGGCTCCCTTAGCGGTTATTATAGAGGTCCAAGCGAAATACACACGGCGCCTATGCGGAGGAGCGCTAGATCCCATCGTTTCCTCCCAACGTTGACCGTGGCTGGAATGAGGGATGATGTCCCCCACAAAAATCTGGCGAATGGTAAGACCAGATTTTCTGTTCATCGGACTGAGTCCGGATGTAGTTCTTATTATTCTATATCTTTTTCACTTTCTACCTTTTCTTCCCTACTCTTTACCTTTATCCTGAGGGGTGGTGGATGCGGGGGGCAAGCAGTGGTCCTCTTTCAGGGATCTATTGGGGTACAGGCAGTGCCCTCGGTCTTGAGAAACACATATAGCACCATAACGGCTCCGCCCGATGGAGATTAAGATAATTTCCCTGAATACAAAGGGCCTCAACACTCCAAAGAAGCGTCGACTCCTGTTTCGAGAATTAAAGAGGATGAGAGCGGACATTGCTTTTGTTCAAGAAACCCACCTACCTAAACAGGCCGTTTTTCGGTTGAGGGACCACACATACGCTGTTTCGTATGAGGCTAGGTCCCACTGTAAACGTAACGGGGTGGCAATTCTCATTAGAGGCAGTTGCCCCTTCCGGGAGACACATCACGAAGCAGACCCGGACGGTCGGTACATTATTGTTTCAGGCATCTTACACTCACATCCCATCCATCTGATTAATATATACGCACCAAATCAGCCTGACACAAGGTTCTGGGAAGGGCTACGAGGGAAAATCTCGGGGATGACCCACGGAATGATATTCTTAGGCGGCGACTTCAATGCGGTCCCGTGTCCAGCGGCAGACAGGAGCTCACGGAGGGGAACTCCTAGATCACAGGGTAGGGGCGGCCAGGATCGCCTTCTTAAAGACTTCATGTCTGAGACCAGACTGGTAGATATATGGCGAGCACACCATCCGGGGGATAAGGACTACTCCTTTTATTCAGCTCCTCACGGAACGTATTCCAGGATAGATCTATTTTTAACCAACGCTGCGGGAATGTCCCGAACGGTAGGGTCACAGGTGGGTAATATATCTTGGTCGGATCACGCGGATATCTCCATCACATTAGGCAACCTATGCGTAGCTTCACCATGGACATGGAATTTGAACACGTCCCTGCTTCGTGACCCGAAAATCCTGGAACAAACTAGGAAAGAAATAACAGATTACTTTGAGATCAACACCACGCCCGACGTGAACGCGAGCACGGTATGGGCGGCCCACAAAGCGGTCATCAGGGGGACCCTAATTAAACTGGCCACTAGGAGAAAGAAAACGAAGTACCAGAAACTGGAATTTCTACTAGGAAGACTGAGATCCCTAGAACAAAAACACCAAACTGAGCCAACAGAGGGCAATCTCAGACAATTGGAGGCGATCAGACGTGACACCCGAACCTTACTACTTGATGATACGGCGAGATCTATGACCTGGTCCAAAAGGACCTTTTTCGAAAAGGCAAACAAGATGGACACCCTCCTGGCCAGGACGCTTCGCCCGAGGCAGGGGAGGTCCCACATAACTGCACTTAAACACCCTGACGGCATGACGAGGACAAACCCAGTGGAGATAGCAAAGATATTCGAAGATTTCTACCGACGGCTGTATAATCACACCCCAGATGGGAGTCCCTTAGGGGAGCACGAGGAGGAGTATATAAGGCAATATCTGGACAGGTTAGGAATGAAAAAATTGAATGAGGAGATGGCAAACACTTTAGCGGCACCTATCTCAGAAGAGGAAATAGATAAAGCTATATCGAGCCTGAAAGGCAACAAAGCACCAGGTCCAGATGGTTTCGATGGCACATACTATAAAACATTCAGGGAAGAACTCACGCCTCAATTGACCCGTCTTTTTGACGATCTCCGGCAGGGTGGTCAATTAGCCCATGATATGTCACTGGCGACCATGGTACTGTTGCCCAAACCTGGAAAGGATCCACTTTACCCCGAGAACTACAGACCTATCTCGCTGATCAATCATGATCTTAAGATCTTAGCAAAAATTCAAGCAGATAGATTAAATCCGCTTTTGCACTCTATAATTCATGCAGACCAAGTGGGTTTTATTCAAGGTCGGCAATTGTTCGAAAACACAAGAAGGAACATCGACTTGATTTGGAAACAAGTGACCTCAGAGACCCCTACATTAGTGGTATCCATAGATGCAGAGAAAGCTTTCGATAGGGTCAGGTGGCAATTCCTCTTTCCAGTTTTAAAGAGTTTGGGCCTCCCAGATGAATTCCTCACAATAACAAGAGCAATGTACCACAACGTTAGAGCACAGGTGCAGATATCGGGAGCTCCGCTACATCCTTTCAATTTGTACAATGGAACAAGACAGGGTTGCCCACTATCTCCCCTTCTTTTTGTCTTAGCGCTCGAGCCCCTACTTCAAGCGATACGCCAACATCCGAACATTGCAGGGGTAAGGGTGGGAGACAAAGAGTTTAAGGTGTCGGCTTACGCAGACGATGTCCTATTGACCATTACAACCCCTCATGAATCAATGATGGCGATACAGGATGTAATAACGGAATTCGGTATGGTATCAGGTTATAAAGCAAACATTCAGAAGTCCAGTGCCCTCCCGATCTATATACCACAAGACGTCATAGCTAGATTGCAGGAGACCCACCAAATAAGAATGGAAAGGGATTCGCTGAAGTATTTAGGGATAAATCTGACAGCGGACCCCGTACGTCTATATTCTGCTAACTATGCTCCGCTGCTCAGGGAACTGACGGGAGACCTCGACAAGTGGACAGATAAACCTATTTCCTGGATGGGCAGGATTAACTCGGTAAAGATGAACATTCTTCCACGTATATTGTTTCTTTTCCAGGCTCTGCCCATCCGGGTCACAAAGACACAACTGATTCCCCTGCAAAGATCTATAGGAGATTTTATTTGGCAGAATAAGAGACACAGAATCTCTAAACAGATCTTATACAGACGAAAGGATAGGGGGGGTCTGGGCCTCCCAAATCTTTACTTCTACTATCTGGCGGCCCAATTGACGCAGATCGCCATGTGGCACTCCACGCCAGATGAGAGAAGGTGGGTAGACATCGAATCTATGATGGTGGGCGTAGATGTGCCGCAGTTTACAATATGGGTTCCCAAAGAACACAGACCGATGATACGGGTCACGTCCCCGGCAATCCTAAACTCGATTTGGATATGGGACAAATGTACCACCAAATATGGGCTGGCGTCATCCCCCTCTCCCTTGACCCCGATCCTCCGCAATAGAGAATTCCCTCCCGGCATGGCCCCCAGAAATTTCCGCAATATAGAAAGAACGGGTCTACAACGGCTACATCAGCTATATCAAAACGGGGAGCTTATACAATTTGCAGACTTACAATCGGGTAACCATCTAACCCCCGCGGACTTCTTCAGGTTTGTCCAAATTCGGGACTTCGCGAAACAACAACATATTAAAACTGCTGCCCTGGGGAAACCCACCTTCTATGAGAAGCTATGCTCCGACGGGGTTTCCCCCAAGGGGATGATCACGTTAATATATGCACATCTCAGTGAAGAAAATAGAGAATGGGGAAGTTTGTCTTATACGGCCCAATGGGAGACCGACCTCGGGGAGGTTCTAGAGGGGGTAGAGTGGCAGGAAATATGGGAAGCGAACGCAAAAGTCTCAATATGTGTCACCCTCCAGGAGCAGTCTTGGAAAACTATGTTTCGGTGGTACACTACTCCAATCAAATTACATAAAATGCACAAACTGGAGACGGATGATTGCTGGAGGGGATGCGGGATCCGAGGATCATACATCCACATGTGGTGGGAATGCCCGAAGCTGCGGGTTTTTTGGGGATCTGTGGAGGATTTGGTGAGACAAACTTTCGATCGGCCCCTAAAACTTGATCCGTGGATCTACTTGCTGAATAGATCGGTAGACGGGTGGACGAAGAGGGAACAGACACTAGTACATAAGATCACCTTGTGTGCACGTCGCGCGATAGCGTTAGCGTGGCTCACTCCTGAGGGCCCAGAATTCTCAGGGGTTATCTCTAGAATCAAAGAGTGTAGAATCATGGACGATCTAACTGCAAGGGTGAGAGGGAATACTACGACATTCCATAAAACATGGGAACCATGGGACAATAGCATACTGGGTTCGAACGAAGATTGAGAGCCTCACACAAGTGGGAATGAACTCATGATATCCACATCCTTATGTAAAGTGACACGTCTGTTAATGCCACAACTGAACTGCCCCCCCCCCCCCATCCGCCCTCCCTCCACCTCCTTCTTTGCTATTTCCTTTTTCTTGGGTTTTCTATCCTATCCTTTTCCTCTCCTTTTCTAATTATTCTTAATTCTTTGTTTTCCGTTTCTTTATTCAAGCAGGATCATACGGTCAGAGGACTGAAGCAGCTAAAGTACTGAAGGGATAAACGTACATAAAGGCTAATCGTTTTCCCTATCGGTCTGCCCTAGGTTAAAATAACTTACCCTAATGGACTGGGGGCCCCAAGGTTTTTTCTGGCAGAAAGCGCATGCAAGGTCCAGGTCGAGTATTACCTATCTACAAGCTATGTAATTCCTTGTGGCCCCCTTGTGAGCCTAAATATGTATATTATACCTGTGATGTTTATAGTGTTTTGTAAAACCTTCCGTAGCCGTCAGGTACCAAGGTTTTCTTAATTCGAGGAAAGGGCTAAGGTTATATTAGGGGATGTACGCCATGTTCTCAAAACTTATATCCAAATTGGCTTCTGCGTAAGCCCCAAAGTTACATGCATTCCTGTTGAGTATATTGTGCAAACTCAAAGTTTTATAAAAATAGAAAAATCCCTTGGCAGGTAGCCAAATTAGCTTATAGGCTCCATAATTTACTGTCTATGCATTATATTAGCACATGTATAAATACAATTGAACTTGCTTACTGTTTATCAGGCTTTTGCACAAGCCGTCACGTTAATGTTACCTGACTACCATTGCCAAGATGAAAAAATAAAGAATTAAAAAAAAGTCAAAATGAGCTGGCATGGAAACCAACGCAGAACACACAATAAAAGGCATGCAAACGACAAAGCTCAGCTCCCTACCTTTCCACAGCTTGAGAAATGCACCAAAAAGTCCCAAAACAACTGCAAACAATTTCCAGAATGGCTCCAAAACTCGATGCAAAAGCCGTTCCAACACCTCCACACTCAATGCCACGTGCTACCCACAGGCTCCAGCATGCATGAAGTGGTGCTATAAACCTCTCAGGTGCAATGCATCCTGGGGAAACTTGCTTTGTATTGCGAAAAAAAATTGTAAACAGAGGCATTATTTTCAATGGATTTTCATTTGTAAACCAAAAATTATGTTAACAGAGTTGTTTGTAAACCGAGGTCCCACTGTATAGTTACCTGGGAGGCCAATGGATAAATCTTTTACTCCAAGACATACACACCTAGACACTCCCTTAACCGTCCCCAAAACAGCAAGACACTTCTATAAACACTATTTCACACATATGTGATATACTCTCCTTACCAGCTATGTTCTTGATAGAGGCTCCTTCCCTGCGTTGTGTGCACCAGCCAACCTCATCAGTAATATATCGGCCTACAGCTGTAGAAAGCAGGACCTTAACCTTAGCTGGAACACTCAGTAAACACTGCTAGCCAGCCAGCTTTCTCAGACACATTAAAAAGGCTCCGGACACATCCCTGATAAAAGACAGAGCCACCAGTTTTTCAGTGTAAAGAGAGTGGCCAAACCTCTGATATTCCTCTCTATTACAAGACTATCCGCAATCATTATTCTAGGGCCAATCAGAGGACAGAACAGGAAGGTGGCTGAAGCAAGGGACAAAAGGTTATATAAAATCATCTCCGCTCCTATAGCAAATATATAATTTCCCACTGTGATAAATTATATATTTACTGTCTTAGGAGCACTGACCCTTCCCATGGTAAGTACTAAATAGTTTTAGTACAATTTGACAACTTTCTTAGGCCCCACCATGTGTCCATGGATGCATATCCTGAGGAAAATCTAGATTGCTCTATAGAGCTGAGGAAGGGCCATCCTGGACCACGCACAATCTGAGAGCTTCAGCTGAGCACTCTCTGCCAATGTCCTATTTTATTCTTTATTTCTTCTGCAAGACTAGATGTTCTGATGCTTGGTGGATCCAGGGAAATGGTAAAACCATACTTAAACAGTTGGACTATTTACCATGGGACAGCACAGGGCACTCCTGGAACCATAACCACTACAGTGGGCTGTAGTGATTGTGATGCTGGCAGTGTTCCTTTAAGGTTAACTGGAAATGGCAAAACATAATTGGCCTTTGATATATATTTTAGTACTTATAATAAAAGTGAGAATGTGTCATAGCTACTTTTATTACAAATTATTCGAATTCAAAGTTTTATAAAAGAAAATGTGCATATTTTAAATAAACATTCTGTTTGATAAATTAATACAATTTGTTTTTCTCCCTATAAGGTTCGACTGCAAATGACCAAAGCTTTCAGGGCTGAGAAAATCCCATAAGAATCACGTTTACCTGTAATAAAATGCCTTTTAATGTATATATCGTGTATGTGTGTGTGTATATATATATATATATATATATATATATATATATATATATAAAATTGGTACACTGTCATTTAAATAAATATTTGTATGTTTTCTATTTCTGTGAGTATCTTATTTTTTCCTCTGACCTGAAATATACTGGTTGCCATGTATAGTATGTATGTGTGTGTGTATATATAATGCACGATTTGCCCATTCGATTAATGGAAAGATCATGTTTTAGAATTGCATACTGGATAGATGGTGACATCTCCCATGAATGAACAGGAATGAAAGTGCAGTGATTCGCTTTTGTATCTTGTGTTTGTATATAATTTGTGGTTGGGGACCAAAGTTGACTATAGACTAAAAACAAATATTGAAAATGCCTTTAGGGTGCATATTGGTTTTGGGATGCCGAAATCAAAAAACGAGTAGTAGGGACCACCTACTAAAATAATTAATTATAGGGAGTGATTCCTGATGCTTGGAGGTATCAATTATAATATTATAGAGTATTTGTGAAATGTGTATTGTGGGGTTTCAGATATAACTTAAAGGACCACTATAGTGCCAGGAAAACACTCGTTTTTCTGGCACTATAGTGCCCTGAGGGTGCCCCCACCCTCAGGGTCCCCCTCCCACCCGGCTCTGGGGAGAGGAAGGGGTTAAAATCTTACCTTTCTCCAGCGCCAGGTGGGGAGCTTTCCTCCTCCTCTCCTTCTTCCTAGCGACGTCATCGGCTGATTGCGCATTCGCGGCAGGAGCCGCACGCGCATTCAGCCAGTTAATAGGAAAGCATTTACAATGCTTTCCTATGGACGCTGGCATCTTCTCACTGAGAATCAATGAGACAGCCACTAGAGGCTTTAGGGGCTGGATTAACCCTCAGTGTAAACTTAGCAGTTTCTCTGAAACTGATATGTTTATTAAAAAAATAAAATAAATAAAAATAAAAGGTTAATCCTAGCTGGACCAGGCACCCAGACCACTTCATTAAGCTGAAGTGGTATGGGTGCCTGTACTGGTCCTTTAAACATTTTTATCTCCTGTTCTATAAATTTTACATACATAAGGCTCCTGCAGGGACTAGGAAGATATTAACAGAGCAGGAGATCAAACAGTCTTAATTAAAAAGAATTTGCAATAAAGGAAGTGGAAACAGATGACTGTTTACTGGAAGTGTTTAGGAAGGGAGGTATATAAGCACAGTAATTTAACTCCTAAATGGCAGATAATTGATCCATGAGACTGCAAGGGTGTGATCTATATACCAAAACTGCTTCATTAAAACTGCTTTTAACATCTGGTGTCAGTAAAAATGCCTTTGTTCCAGTCAATTGGGGATCTCTTGCCTGTTGTATATATTCCTTCTAATGAGCATGTTAGGACGCAGTGGCTTGTACTGATTATATATACAGTATGTGACAACAGTGAAAAAAATTACACTCTGCTACAATTTAAAGTAGCAAGTGTACAGCCTGTATAAGAGTGTAAATTTTCAGTCCCCCCAAAATAACTCCATGTGGCAAACTTCCCTTTTTACCTGAGTTTGCCACGAGCTCCTGGAGGAGCCTGCTTGCCAGCCTCCTGCCCACAGACTATGTGCCCTGCAGGAAAATCTGTAAAAAGACTACCGAACTTGACCGAATGTTAGCACTGATTTCCCTGGAACTGTTTTGGGCATGAGGCCATGCTTGTGGTCAGTCAAAACTATGACTTCCAGGAAATTCCTGTACCCCTGAACCGATCTGGGTGTTTTTTGGATATGTTGTTCAGATCTGGGCTATCCAGGTTTTGTGTGTTTTAAGGTACTTTGGGGGGTTTCATAAAATTGTATGTTTTTTTTTTCTGTGCTTGGAGATAATTAGGTTAGATTAGTACAGTTCCTGATTCAATTATCTCCCAAGCACAGAGGAGGGATTCTATTGTTTGTGTATGGGAGTGTCTCTCTGTATGACTGTTTTTATCGGTTGTTCACTTTATGTCCCTGTGCCCAACCTGGGTGTCGCCCTTGTTGGGAAACTTGCATAAAAGGCCAGTGTGCCTCCATTAAAAGCGTTTCCAGCTTACACTCCAAAATTTACACTGTTATACAGGATGTACTTACTACTTTACATTGTTGCAGAGTGCAATTGATTCAGTGTTGTCACCTGAAAAGATATAAAATATATTTACAAAAATGTGAGATTGTGTGTGTGTGTGTGTGTGTGTATAATCCTATCCCCTTTTGAGGGGCCTTTTTTTTCCTAAAGCAACATAAGTAGATCCAACCACATTCAAAAGACCTCTAATAAGAGGTCTAACACCATACACAGCCTGGAATATTAAGCATAAAAGGAAACACAAAAGAAAATAATGGATTACATACCAAAAGTACAGTGAGGGAAAAAGGTACTTGATCAAAGGATTGATCAGTCTATAAGTTTAATGATGGTGTATTTTAACAGTGAGAGACAGAATAACAACAACAACAAAATCCAGAAAAACATGTCAAAAAAGTTATAAATTGATTTGCATGTCGATCAGTGAAATAAGTATTTGACCCCTTCGACTTAGTACTTGGTGGCAAAACCCTTGTTGGCAATCACAGAGGTCAAACGTTTCTTGTAGTTGGTCACCAGGTTTGCACACATCTCAGGAGGGATTTTGTCCCACTCCTCTTTTGCAGATCCTCTCCAAGTCATTAAGGTTTCGAGGCTGATGTTTGGCAACTTGAACTTTAAGCTCCCTCCACAGATTTTTTATGGCATTGGAGACTGGCTAGGCCATTCCAGGACTTTAATGTGCTTCTTCTTGAGCCACTCATATGTTGCCTTGGCTGTGTGTTTTGGGTCATTGTCATGCTTAAATACCCATCTAAGACCCATTTTCAATGCCCTAACTGAGGGAAGGAGGTTCTCGCCCAAGATTTGACTGTACATGCCCCTGTCTTTTATCTCTTTGATGCATTTGTTCTGTCCCCTTAGCAGAAAAACACCCCCAAAGCATAATGTTTCCACCTCCCTGTTTGACAGTGGTGATGGTGTTCTTGGGTGTCATAGGCAGCATTCCTCCTCCTCCAAAAACACATTGAGTTGATGCCAAAGAGCTTGATTTTGGGCTCATCTGACCACAACACTTTCACCCAGTTCTCCTCTGAATCATTCAGATGTTCATTGGCAAACTTCAGACGGGGCTGTACATGTGCTTTCTTGAGATGGGGGACCCACATTGCGGGTGCTGCAGAATTTCAGTCCTTCACGGCGTAGTGTGTTACCAATTGTTTTCTTGGTGACTATGGTCCCAGGTGCCTTGAGATAATTGAAAAGATCCTCCTGTGTAGTTATAGGCTGATTCCTCACCATTCTCATGATCATTGAAACTCCACGAGATGAGATCTTGCATGGAGCACCAGACCGAGGGAGACTGACAGTTACTTTGTGTTTCTTCCATTTGCGAATAATCACACCAACCGTTGTCACCTCACCAAGCGGCTTGGCGATGGTCTTGTAGCCCATTCCAGCCATGTGTAGGTCTACAATCTTGTCCCTGACATCCTTGGACAGCTCTTTGGTCTTGGCCATGGTGGAGCGTTTTGAATCTGATTGATTACTTCTGTGGACAGGTGTCTTTTATACAGTTAATAAGCTGAGATTAAGAGCACTCCCTTTAAGAGAGGGCTCATAATTGCAGCTCTTTACCTGTATCAAAGACCCCTGGGATACAGAAATCTTGCTGATTGATACGGGATTAAATGACCACTATAGGCACCCAGACCACTTCAGCTTAATTATGTGGTCTGGGTGCCTGGTCCAGCTAGGGTTAACCCTTTTTTTTTTTAATAAACATAGCAGTTTCAGAGAAACTGCTATCTTTATAAATGGGTTAATCCAGCCTCTAGTGGCTGTCTCTTGACAGCCGAATATGAATGCTTTCCTATGAGACTGGCTGAATGCGCGCGCAGCTCCTGCCGTGCATGTGCATTCCACCGGAGAGGAGGAGGAGAGCTCCCCGCCCGGCGCTGGAGAAAGGTGAGTGTTTAACCCCTTCCTCTCCCCAGAGCCTGGCGGGAGGGGGTCCCTGAGGGTGGGGGCGCCCTCAGGGCACTGTAGTGCCAGGAAAACTTGTATGTTTTCCTGGCACTATAGTGGTCCTTTAAAAATGTATTTAACTCATTGACATGCAAATCAATTTATACGTTTTTTGACACGCATTGTCTGGATTTTTTTGTTTGTTTGTTATTCTGACTCTAACTGTTAAAATACACCTACCATTAAAATTATAGACTGATCATTTCTTTGTCAGTGGGCAAACGTTCAAAATCAGCAGGGGATTGAATACTTTTTTCCCTTACTGTAAACTGGAAAAATGATATTGGAGAAAAAAAGGCACACCCCCCAAAAATAAAAAATAAATCTTTTTGCTGTAAGCCTTTCTCAAGGGAGTACAAACTGTATCAAAACACCTTAAATACTTTGTGAGTGATAACAATTGATTCCCAAGGGTAATGGGTGGCCACCCACTAATTGGCAAAGTAACCCTCTCCAACAGTCACATGACCAATATTGAGAGCATCTTGTAACATTTAAAAAAAAAAAATGAAAATAACGTGGGAAAAAAGGAATAATAAAAAAAACAGAAAATGCAAATAACAAGCTTTAGATCTGATCCCTGAATCAAAATGTTCAAGCATACAGCATTCTTACAGTAAGGGGGTAGAAAATGCAGCATCAATAAGCTGTTAAAGCGGAATTACATGCAGAGTAAAAACTGAAAACCTAAATAGACAAAATGCCATAGAGAAAATTGATAAACACATGCCCCTTAGAGTGGCTAAAAGCAAGTAAAAAATCCACGCAATCTGATAGATCGAAAGAACTATAGATGCCCAACAGTATCTGTATTATTGAACGCGGAATTAATCATAGTCACAGAGACGAACATGCATTCCAAAGCACCCCAGTAGAACATAAATTAGGCCAAAGAAATTGAAAAACAATTTGAAAAAAATACAAAAAAGCGTGGAAAAAGAGAATATACTAATATAAGCATATATTAGTAATTCGTTTCAAAGATCCAAGGTAAGTGTCATCTCACATCAAGACCAGTTGATAGCTACATCATAACAAAAAATAATATAAGTTCACATCAAAATCAAATGAAGATCAAGAGAAAATAGTATGAGAGAAACAAAATAAATGAAGTGTAAAAAAATAAATCTTTATTAATAATTGACCACAAAGATCAGTGACAAATGGCATATATTGCCAAGAACAGAAGACAAAATCATAAACAAAAAATGTGAAAAATAAGGTGAACCCAATATGGAGATTAACTGAGCCAAGTTGTCTGGAAAGAATTGAAAGTGGCAAATCTGGTTGATTTATTCCAACTCCCCATTTTCTATGTTGACCGTTCCTGCCATGATGATGATGAAACGATATAGTACCTCTGCAAGGATGTCAACTTGTCCCAAAAATCATATAAGCTCACCAGTTGACTGATGATATCATCAAAAGATGATAGTTTCTTTTTTTTTTTTTTTTATAATTTATTTATTTCAATTTTTCTTATTCAAGACGTACAAGACATTAACATCATCCATACTAATATAAAAAACATAAAAAATGTAAACATTTAGCGCTAGTTAGATAGGACATGTGGTATTACATATATACATAGAGATTAAATATTGCTCATTATCATGTATTTACAATATTATTGCTTGTTCCCCATTTCTTTAAACAAATCCAAATACCAAAATAACGAGAACAATGAGCATGACAAAAATTTTCATCCAACCGTCCTAAAATTAGAGTTTCGTCTCCCATAATAGTCATCCTTCTTCACTATCTATTGTTACTTTTATTAAATAATTAGCTTTACTGGATTCATTAGTATGATGTACTTAACAAACATACAAAAACAAACTTGCATTGCAGACTCTACTTGGGGTATTGCAGTGGCACCTCTATTTCACTACCTTAAAGAAATGAAAAGGAAAAGATGTAAAAAAAAAAAACCACACAGCTATTCTATTAATTTTGTCCAGGATTTTATCTGGACAGACTCTCCATTTTTTCTTTCCAGAAATTGCTAACATCTCTTATTTTTATTGACTGATGTCCCAAGGCTTCCATGGTTAATTGGTATTGGACTTGTGAATATAACTGGGCTTGTGTAAAATTTGCGCTACTCTTCCAATTCCTTGCGATTATTATTTTTGTTGCTGCTACAAAATGGACATATATAAATTTGTTCTTAAAAAGGAGTGATTGCAAATTTAAGTGAAATAGACCATTATGGTGACCTCTAGGGATTTTTGTTTCTGTAATATACTCCAATGATTCAAAAGCCATAAACCACAGAATTTTCACCTTACTGCAGTCCCACCATATATGTCCAAAAGTCCCCTCTTTGTCATTGCATCTCCAACACAGTGGGGAATTAGAAGTGTACATTTTGGACAATCTGGTGGGAACTAAATACCAGCGATTCATTAATTTAAATAATACCTCAAGAAGGTTCAAACAATGGATTATTTTACTTGTTTGGTATAATACTTGATCCCATTCAGACTTAAGAATCTGTACATTTAACTCTTTACTCCATTTTTGAATATTTACATTTAAATTTGGTGCTTCAAGTTGAAGAAGAGCAGTCCTTGCCTTTGAAACTATTTGCGATACCTTCTCATTTCTTAATAGAACTATCAAATTTTTTATACCCGCTGTAGGTCGATGTAACAAAAACTGTTTAATAAAGCTTCTGATTCTTAAATAATTATACCACTCTTTCCTAGGTAGTGAAAATTCTTGTATCAAATTTTCAAATGATTTAATTTTATCTCCCGCTATTATTTGATTTATATAATCAATGCCTCTCCTTGTCCATTCACTGATATTTAAATCTTTCATCCTTAGTTGTATAATACTGAGGTTAAAGTTTCCCAATATTTTATTGCGGATTCCGCTATTAATCCTCAGCTTTTCCCACTCCATTAGAATGGATTTCAAGCAATTATTAGAAGTACAGACCTTTTTAATTCTTTGGTCTTGATTAGTTAGCCATAACAATTGATGTAAATTTTCCATTTCTACCATCTCCATTTCTAATTGATACCATCCAGCTTCCTCTGAACTTGATAATTGCGTCATATATATGAAACATCATATTAGCTAAATAAATTATGTTGACGTTTGGGAAATTTATCCCTCCTTTCCTGCTCTTCTGCATCAAAAGATGCTTATTCATCCTCGGCCTTTTTCCTTTCCATATAAAATTATTTATATCTCGTATCATAGATAACCATGGTTGTGGCATTCTCAAAGGGATCATACAAAATAAATAGGACCATTTAGGGAGTAAGTACGAGTTAACCAAATTGATTCTACCCCACCAGGATAATTCAATTTGTCTCCATCTTTTTAATGACTCATGTGTCGATCTAAATGTTTTCAAAAAATTTGTTTGCAACGTATCTTTTAAATCATCAGAAATCACTATACCTAGATAAGATAACCTGTTTTTATCACAGTTAAATTTATATTTATCTTTAATCTGTTGGATAGAGTCGCTAGAAATATTTATAGCTAAAAAAGTAGATTTCGTTGCATTTATTTTATAATTTGAAATCAGACTGTATTTATCTATCTCTTCCATTAAGGCACTAAGCGATTCGACAGGGTCGGTTAGGGTCAAAATCAAGTCATCCGCATATAGATTCAATTTAAATTCTTTCTCTCTGTGCCTAAATCCTTTAATTCGAGGGTTATCTCTTATATTAATAGCTAGAATCTCCATTGTCATAATATATAAGATAGGCGACAAAGGACAACCCTGTCTCGTGCCATTTTTTTATGTAAACCACTCTGAACATATATTTGGAGCCACTGTTCTTGCTTTTGGGCCTTCGTATAGAGCTAAAATAGCGTTAAGCATCCTGCCCTGGATTCCAAATTTTTCCATAGTTTTCCTTAAAAAGTCCCAACCGACCCTGTCGAAAGCTTTCTCGGCATCTACAGCCAATACAAATAAAGATTTATTATTTCTTCTAGATGCATCTATCAACTCCAATAATCTTCTAGAATTATCTACCGGATCTCTACCTTGTACAAAACCAATTTGATCATTTTTGATTATATAATCCATTAGTCCCCTTAGTCTATTAGCCAAAACTGATGAAAAGATTTTAACATCTGTGTTAATTAAAGAGATGGGTCTATAATTCTCCACCTTTAAAGGGTCTTTATTATCTTTTAAAATTGGAAGAATATTTGCACTCAGCATTTCGGTAGGAAATTTGCCAACTGATACGATTTCGTTAAACATATTTGTTAAATGGGGAACTATAATGTTTTTAAAGGATTTGTAAAATATATTTGCAAAACCATCTGGACCTGGCGTCTTATCTGATTTTAATTTGTTTATTACTGCCTCTACTTCTTGGACTGTAATTAAAGTATTTAACTTATTACTTTGTTCTAATGTTAATTTAGGTGTATTGGTTTTACTCAGATAATCCTCTTCATTTATTATCGGGGGAGTTAGATTGTACAAAGCCTCATAGTACTTATTAAATCTCTCACCTATTTTTTTTGGGTCTAAATATACCCCCTCTTCATCCACTATCTTTACTATTTTGCTGGATCCAATTTTATCTCTTAATTTTTTTGTCATGTTTCTATCTGCTCGGTTCCCCCTATAATAATAATTTGCTTTAAGTTTATTCATTAGTTTTGCATTCTTTGCTATCAAAAAATTATTAATTCTGTTCTGAATACTTTTCAGTTCATCTGCATTTTCTTTAGAAGGAGACTGCTTATTCTTACTTGCGATCTTTTTTAATTCTGCTTGTAGTCCTAGAAAAATTCTATTATTTTCTACTTTATATCTTGTTTGTATACTTATTATATTGCCTCTCATTGTGGATTTAAAGGCACACCAATTGTTTATATATGAGGTATCATTAGGATCGTTTTCAAGAAAAAAGGTTACTATTTGTTTTTCTAGTATATCAAGATTGATCTTAGATTTTAACAAATTATCCTCCATACGCCAGGTATCACGACCAATCCTGGTCCATTGATTCTTCATCTCCCACATATTAATACTGTGGTCTGACCAAGTATTATCAAGTATCTTAAAATATTTAATATTCGTCAATGCTGTCATATTGCCCCACACCATATCTATTCGAGAATACGAAAGATGTACACGTGAAAAAAACGTATATTCCAATGAGTCAGGATTGGTCGTTCTCCAAAGATCAAAATAGTCAAAATTAATCATAATTCTATTAGTAGATCTTGCAAGTTTATCTGTTCTTTTTTGATGTATGAACTTTTTTATATTTAGATTTATAAGGATTTTTTCATGGTTCTTATGATTTGTTTATTTTTATATGAATAAATATTTTGTGTATATGTACATTTTTATCTTATTCTACAGCTGCTGCTTTGGAGTGTAATTTTTCTAGTGGTCATATTTTATTTGGAGCGCTCACATACCCTTGTTGGTTTATATTTTATTTGGTTGTTTAGTCGCTCTTTTATATGTGACGCAGCCCTGCTTATTATTGTGTATAGAGTTTTTGTATACTCCAATTCAGATTATTTTGATGTTTATTGTATTGGTAATATTTATTTCGGAGAGCGCAATTTAGATCTGAATTGGAGATTTATTTATTTATTATTTACATAACTTTAGATTTAAAACGTTATTTTGGATTAACATTTTTCCTTTTAAATATGCCTTTAGTAAGCCTTACTGAAAGGGCGAATAGAAGGTTGAATCTACTCACTGATAAGGAGGATAATCCCTCACCACATAAGGCAGAATCCCATATAAAAAACCTCTTTTTTGAGCTTGAGAAGCATTTGAAAACTGAAATGAGGGATTGGTGGGATCAGGCGTTGCTGGAAAAGTATCTAGAACAGAAACTTATCCCTAGGGGTCTAAGGTTCGATAAGAGACCATTCTTCTCGGATCATACACAATTAGAGAATGAATGGCTAGAAGCTCTAGATAATTGTTCTGTGATACTGATGCAAATTTTGGTCAGATATAGACAGTATAGATTAAAAAGAACAGAAACTGAGATAGAGTTAATCCACTCTCAGATAAGTACTACGGATAATTCTGACCTTGTAACAGAATTGGATAACAATGTTAATAATAGGATGACTAAGTTTGAGAAAGAGATTGTCACCAAAAAGAACTCTAAATTCCTCAGAGACAAAAAAGATTTTGAGGGTGGCCTCATTAGAAATTGGCAGAGGAAGGTCTATAGGAAGAACAGGGATACTCCCATTTTAAGATCAGGGAATAAGTCCGAGATTCGTAATCCCCACTCTATTCATCAGTATCCCAAAAAAAGAAATATGAATCTTGGGAATCCTTCACGTGAATCTTATAATAAGACTACTGGACATGGTCACAATACTTATGCGGAAATAGCGAGATCTAAGCCACATAATCAGATGAATCAGAGTTATACTCCAAGACGTGGTTATAATCGAGATGAGAGAGATATCCGCTATACTCCGAAGAAGCCATATAACAATGCTTGGAGAAAACCAGATAATCCCAATCATATTCCTCTCTCAGAGTCTAGGGACCTCCTCATTAGAAGATGCACCAATGATTCAAGTGCCAACACAGACCCCAATGAATTGGGAGCTCGCCCCAAACCGCCACGATCCCATAATTATGGCTCTTCAAGAGATGTTCATTTTTTAGGGGAAGGTCCATCAGACATTCCCAAGACCTTTCCGTTATTCTCCAAGAGGGGGGGCAGGAAAAGAGATACACCCACAGGGGAACAAGAGGAAAGAGAAATGAACCCCAACAAATCGAGGTGCCTCCCTTAGTGGGAATCTTTAATTTGTCTACTCATACATTGAAAGCCTCAGAGATTTCCTTGTTGAACAAAGGTTTGAACTTCGCCCCCCTCAGTAATCCCAATATCTTGGATTTATTTAGGGATCTTAATCATTTCATTAGGAAATTGACCCTTACCAGGTCATTCAATATTAAGGAGGCCAATAGTATAATTGAATGTCCTGGTTTTTTAAATGAACCACAAGATAAGATTATACTTAAGAATTTGATAGGTCTCCTTAATGAACAAACAGAGCCTGGGATCACAATTGATGCTTTGGAGGTTATAGACGCTAGTATAACTACAGGTCTTAAACCACCTTCCACTTATCATCCTGTAGCAGATAAAGGAGGATTCCTACCTATTTTCTATGAACTGGTGTTGAAGGATTTTAGATCTTTAGTCACCAGTCTAAATGTCAAACAAAGAAATTGGAAGTTGGAATATAACCTTACGAATCTGGAAAGGGCAGCACTGAAAGACCTTAAGAAAGATCATAACATCGTTATCAAGGGGGCTGATAAGGGAGGTGGGATTGTTCTCCTTGACAGAGAGAACTACCTCAAGGAAGCATATCGGATTTTGGAAGATACAAATTATTATAAAACCCTCGCTTTTAATCCCACTACTCAATTCACCAGGGATCTCAAAACCTGGGTGAATAGGATGTTTGATATAGGGGTTATTGATAAATCAGAAAAAGGTTTTCTACTCTCCGGTGGAGACAATATACCCATCTTTTACTTCCTTCCGAAGATCCATAAGTCCCTCACTAATCCACCTGGTAGACCTATTATTTCATCTATTGGTTCTCTTACAGCACCCTTATCAAAATGGGTAGATATTCATCTTCAGAAAATTATGATCAACCTTCCTTCGTATATTAAAGACACGGGACATGTATTATCATTGATGCAGGAGATTTCCTGGCAGGAGAATTATTGTTGGCTGACCGTGGATGTGGCAGCCCTATATTCAAATATCGACCACAAGTTGGGCTTGAAAGCTATTCAACATTTCCTTTTGGAAGATCCCCTTCTCCCTCGTTGTCAAGTGGAAGCAATTTTGGAAAGTATATCCTTTATTTTAACCCATAATTATTTTTGTTTTAATGGGCAGTTCTACCTACAAATAAAAGGCACAGCAATGGGGGCCAGTTTTGCCCCAGCATATGCAAATATCTTTATGGGCCTGTGGGAATCCATCCATATATTTAATCATCCTATATGGAGAGAACATCTTATATTTTATAAAAGATTTATCGACGACATCTTGATTATTTGGAAGGGTGATCTTGATGATACTGATAACTTTGTCCATTATCTCAATAACAACGAATGGGGATTATCTTTTACTAGTAATAAAAATAAGACAACCATTGAGTTCCTTGATTTGATCCTATGCGGGAAACCTGGACATGTCCTCACTAAAACTTTTAAGAAACCGGTCGATGTTAATGGTTTTTTACATTCAACGAGTGGTCATCATCCAACGTGGATTAATAATATCCCGTATGGTCAGTTTATTAGACTACGCCGAAATTGTTCTCTCTTGGAAGACTTTGAAGAAGAATCTTTGGAATTATGTCAACGTTTCCTGGATAAAGATTATGATCCAAACACCATTTATCAGGCATATCATAAGGCTAGAAACATTTCGAGAAATTCACTCATAGAGCCTTATATTGATCAGGAGTCTCCAGCTAGATCTCCCGTGCCATCAGTTAAACATATGGAAGTATTATCCCTTTTGGAAAATTCAACTCCTAAAAGAAGATCCAACACCCGGAATAAATTTAACATCAGTACTAGGGATGTTTCTCATAATAAGGGTCCCATATTTACCACTACCTTTAATAGGGCATATGACCAGATTATTTCCATTCTACGCCAACATTGGTCTATTTTATTATTGGATCCTTGGTTGAAATTTAGTTTAGCTGGGTCACCAAGAATAACCTTTAGGAAAAATAGAAATTTAAAGAACTTGTTAGCTCCATCTAAGCTTGCCTCAGCAGAATCCCATAACACATTGGCAGCCCTTGGTGTAGGGAATTTCAAATGCGGTTCAACGCGATGTCTAACATGTCAGTATATACACCATGGAGGTTTGGATTTCTCGTCTTCTTCGAATAATGAGACTTTCCAAGTAACCTCAAGGATTACCTGTAACACCCCATATGTTGTCTATTTACTGAAGTGTTCGTGTGGATTGCTTTATGTTGGCCAGACTTCTAGGTCATTGAAAACTAGGTTCAGAGAACACAGACTAGCGATCATTAAACAGGATAGAAAATCCCCGGTAGCTAGACACTTCCAAATGGCTCATGAGAGCAATCCTTTATATATATCTGTTATGGGTATTGAACATATCCCAGAGAAGATTGTTAATAGAAAAACAGCTCTTATTGTAGCTGAGACCAGGTGGATTTTCCGACTGAATACTCTTAATCCGTATGGGTTAAATGAGGAATTGGAGCACATTACTTAATTTTGTTTTTTCTTTTTGATTAAATTTTTTATGGTTCTGCTTTAACAGTGGGGGATGGACCACAAGGGATATGAGGGATGCATTCATTACTGTGTGTCCCTACCCCCTTTTTCCCCCTCTCCACCCCTGTTTAAGTATAACTCATTCATTTAGATCATTTATTTATTTATTGTTTCAATTTGTGTTCATTGAACATAAGCTTTGATTGTATGTTATGTGACTTCCCTAAAAAGCTTTTTATATGTAACATATTGGTATTTATCAGCCCCTAAACAATTGTTAAATAGAGAGAATGATAATGCCTATTGGTTGATGATTTATATTTAATAATATTATTTGGATGTTTACTCTATAAAAATTATAAATAAATGCACACCTTAGGCGATCCGCCTTCTACAAATTGACTCTTAATTTTTATTATTGTCTAATTGAATGACCACTCCTTTAGGAATAGGGTATATATACCCAGTCTGTGGACAACAGATCTTTGTCTTGATAAAGTCCCTCATAGGGGACGAAACGCGTAGACGATCTGTTTTTCCGTCTCCTTTGATTTTCTACCCGACTTCATTTACGGTTCGGGAGGGATTTTCGGCAGCTGTTTAATTCAGTCTCACACATCCTGTCTCGTGGTAGGGAGTTGGCGTGCTCCCTTCACCTTACACGGAAGTAGGGTGAATAGGGTAAGTTGCTTTTGGTTTAATCCCTAGGTTTTTAACACTAGGAGACTATCCATTGCGGCACCCCTCACCTTTACCTAGTAGTTTGGCGGGTTTATGAGCTCCCTCCCCCATGAACTATATATGTGTTTGAGGTCTGATATTCATTTTTGGACATTTTTTTGATGTTTTATTATTTGATGTGCACAATCTCTTTTTAAATTTTTTTCCTTTTGATACATAATCCATATTAGTGTTGGGGGCCCCACACTATGTATCTTTGAACTTTGGTTTGGACACATCCTTATGAACTTTTTTATATTTTGATTTATAAGGATTTTTTCATGGTTCTTATGATTTGTTTATTTTTATATGAATAAATATTTTGTGTATATGTACATTTTTATCTTATTCTACAGCTGCTGCTTTGGAGTGTAATTTTTCTAGTGGTCATATTTTATTTGGAGCGCTCACATACCCTTGTTGGTTTATATTTTATTTGGTTGTTTAGTCGCTCTTTTATATGTGACGCAGCCCTGCTTATTATTGTGTATAGAGTTTTTGTATACTTCAATTCAGATTATTTTGATGTTTATTGTATTGGTAATCTTTTTTGATGTAACAATGTTGAGATTGTCTTCTTATCTAGTATCGGATCCAGTACACTGTTAAAGTCCCCAGCCACCAAACATGTGCCTATTTTAATAGATTCTATTAAACTTAAAACCTTTTTTAAGGTTGGAGCAGGAAAATCATTGGGAAGATATATATTAGTCAATGTATATGGTATCTCATTTAATTTACAGCAGACTATTACATATCTGCCTTCCTTATCTTTAATTTGATGTATTATATCCACTTTTAGTGTGTGGGAAAAAAAGTATTGCTACTCCTCTTTTTTTTTTTTTTCCACTTAATGAAGCATATATCACTGTGGGAAATTTTAAACCACCCCAGCTTTGATTATCTATATCTGACCAGTGGGTTTCTTGAAAGAAGCCCACTTCCACTTTATTTCTCAACATATAGTCATATATTAGAGATTTCTTAATTGGAGAATTAAGGCCCTGAACATTAACCGAAATCATCTTTACCATTTTAACTCAAAAAAAACCATTGTTACCACTGACCCCAAGAGAGCTGCAATGCATTCACACAAAACACAAATGGTCCATTGGACATAGACCCACAAAAGCCTTATGGGAAAGACACCCAGTCTGGCCCAACACAGCCTGGCTCCCGAGTGGTTGTCTCTCAACTCACCACTCAGGGGCCATCTGTGTCCTCGTGAGATGGTATTATAGATTACCATATCACGGTATTTGTGTCAACACAGAAAGATGACACTTGGTGGGGCAATATAGAAGGGAGCGCCCGAAAATCATACTCCTTATTTTAAAAAAACTCTCTACTATCTCATATAAATACCTTAAAAAAATAAATAAAAAAAATAAAAAAAAAAACACACTTATTTACAACCTACGACTCTTAACAATATAGATATCTGGTCTTTAGCAATTTATAAACATTCCTTATTTTGTGAAATCCGTGCAATTATTTATAATGTGCGTTCCATGCGTCTTATTCAAATTGTTATTACCACCAAACCAGTTATGTATTTTCAAACAATATATACAGTCTCTATCTCTTAACTGTATTAAATCCAACCATATATCCCAAATCCAACCGTGAATATAAATATAAATATATATATATATATATATATATATATATATATATAAATCATTAACAGTTTATACTGTGTATACGAATCGATCTATCCTTTATATTAATTCTTTCCGTGTCTTATTCAAATTACCAGTATTTCCATAACCTTTATAAATTTCTAATTCTGTGTGTAAATATTACATTTTTTTACAGTGTTAAGCTACCAATTTTATAGATTTACGCACTCTATGTGATTATTTTATCCTTTAGAGTACTAACTCTTACCATCCTTCTCAAACGTGTACTAATAATAAACCCACCATTCACTTATCATTAACACTTATTCTTTAACTTTATCTTTCTCCATGCTTTCATAGTATTTATTAATTCTTAAAGACCCAGCCTCACCCTAACAAAAAAAAAAAAAGAATTATTTTAATTGTCCTTTTTCATCCAGACAACTGCAAATCCTCTTCGGTTTTTAGTTATTGTCCCGAATTATATGACGTCCACTATTGATTGCTCTTCCATCCATTTTCTCAAGGCATCCGGAGTAATGAATTTTTCATTTTTTCCTCTCCAAAAGATCCTAAGGCATTTAGGGAATCCCCATATGTATTTCACTTCTTTAGATCTTAGTATGGCTAGTTCCTGAGTAAAACTTTTTCGCCATGCTCTTGTTTGGAAAGATAGATCCGGGAAAACCTTCAAGTTCTTAAATCTCTCTTCTGTAACTGGCTTACTTCTCAGAGAACTCATTATTTGATTTTTAATAAAGAAAGATTGAAATTTAACTATTACATCTCTCGGTAATGATTCAGCCACATTTCTGGGTCTGGGTAACCTGTGATATCTTTCTAATTCTGAGTCTTGTAAACCAGCTTGAGATAGTACTGTTTCAAAGTATTCCATTAAAAAAATTTCCAATGTTGATTCGTTAATATGTTCAGGAATATTACGGATTCTTATGTTAGTTCTCCTGGAACGATCTTCCAAGTCGTTTATTTTATCCTCTAATGATTCTACCTTGGATTGCAGGTCTGTCATTAATAACTCTGTATGTACATTTTTAAGATCTGTTTGGATCATCTTAGACTCTATAGATTCCAATTGTACTTTCATATTTCTTATCTCTTGTTTTAAATCTAATGATCCTTTTTGGATGTCTTCTTTAATATTGTCCTGTAATTTATCCAGGTAATTAATTAGAGTCTCTTCAGTTAGAGGTTTACCAGCCTGTGCAACATGAGAGGGATTAGAGTTAGGTTTGGGGGGAGGGGAATTATCCTGATTTTCAAGATTCAATTGAGATTTATTTGGAGGAGGGGAGAAATAACCTGATAACCTTTTATCAGTGATGTTATCTTTTTTTTCTTTCCTCCTGTGGCTTTCTAGTTGCCATTTTGTTTCTCTAAAAAAAAATAAAAAAAATCTTCTTTTCTTTTGTTATTCTCCTTTTCCTTCTTTCTTTCTATTTTTCTTTCCTTTGCTTTCCCCCTCTTGACTCTTGTTTCACTTTTCTCTTTTTTCCTCCTTTTCCTTCCTCTTTCTTAGGAAACTCTCTTTTCTTACTTTTTTTTTTTCTTTATCTCCCTTCTTTCCCTTTTCCTTCCTTCTTTCTCTTTTCTTTTCTCTTTCTCTTTTCAGGCAGCAAAACTTTAAGTCATAATTCTCAGTATTTATAAACCTGTTACACTTATTTTCTCTTTTTTTTTTTTTTCTCTTTGGGGAAAATCACCCCTCCATTTCCTCCATTTCCTCCTCTCCTGGTGTTTTATAAAACAATATTCTTCTAATTTCTGTTTTCTATCCTCCTCACCCCCCTTCTCTCTTTCACTCTCTCAATGCCATAATTTCTTGGTCTTTAATAATATCGATAAAGCATGTAGCAGACTTATCTTTGTAGCCACTATTTTCTCTCCTCGCCAGATCTCCCCTGCGTCTCTGCTCGAGGGCTCCGGATGCCACTCAATTTTCGCCGGGCTGAAGAGAGAACCCGATAGTCTCGCCTCAGATGTCGGATGTCGTCGGCTAAATCACCCCCTCGAACCGCCAAAAAAACACCGCCGGGCGCCCTTCCACTACATCGCCCCTCCTCTCACGTAGACACGCACCCGCCTACGTCATCACCAAAAAAAAAGGGAACTGACCAGTACTGTCCATTTCTACATGATACAGTTTCTAAAAGCAAAATTAAATGTACAAAATGAAATAAAAACAAAAATTAACACAGGTGACTATATAAGAGGAGTAGGTAAAGCAATATAAAAAATCACTGTCTAAAGGGACACTCCTCATTAAGTCATTGTGGGAATAACACAATAAAGCTCTGATCTCTTCAGAGTATCTGTTTGAGAACAACTAGGCAGAGGCATGTAATGCATTGAATAGCCTGGACCTTAGGTGAGAAACTGAGTGCCACTGGCCATTATGAACAAAACATCTAGCAACAGTATTCTGCGTTTTCCTAGTTTGTATCAAGCTTTTATGTTCACCTTTGCACACAGTCAGGGCTGGGTTGGGGATCAATGGCATAGACTGCATGGACATTTTAACAAGTCAATCACTTGTCAGATTGGCAATTAGGAAACTCCCTAATTGCAAACTGCTTGCCAGCCCTTGGATGAGTGAACTGTGCGCTGCTTGCAATATTGTTAAATGCAAAAGAATAATAAGCGCTCTCTTCTCAGGGGTGAGCTGCAGTTCACCAACAAGGTGTTCCTCTACCTTGTGATAAATGGACAGATAAAATAGAAAGGTGAACAGCGCTAAAAATCAGAAAATGTACATACGTTTTGTAGAAATACTGGCCAGCAGAGTAACTTAAAAAAAGAGAGAAACAAAAATACAAATAATGGTACAGTATGTATGAACGATATAATTCCACAAGAACAAAGGTGTTATATTCACACTCACACTTTGAGGAGCTATATCAGCTCGGTGTTAAGAGCCTGGACGGAATAATCCCCGTCTATGGATTTCTTGAGGTTCAAGACCATTGGTGAATTTATAGGTGTAAATATTCGTTACATGAAAAACAAGAGTAAAATACACCACATGGTATAGTACGTAAATATAAAATATTGGAAAAAAAAAGTGGATGATCCTACTTACATATACTAGAGCAACGACCTGCTCTAGTTTGGAGAATTTCAGGTGGAATAATCCCCACCTTGGGATATAGTGGACCCAGGTATAGCAGCAAAGCAGTATTGGATAGAAAGGAGAACAAAAGGAATGACTGGATAGTTTAAAAAATATATATACTTTAATACAATAAGTAAAAAGTGAATAATAAACTATAAAACCAGTCCTGTATAAAAGTCCAAAAATTCTTCCTCACTTGACGCGTTTCGCCGAAGCTTTCTCAAAAGTGAATGCTATCTATGCTATCTTGCTGAAAACAGGAAATGGGGAAATATGCACAGCAGAATCGATTTTCATCATCAGAGAAGGTATATAATCTCAAGGACCCCAAGCAGCAAGCATTCACTTTTGAGAAAGCTTCGACGAAACGCGTCAAGTGAGGAAGAATTTTATATGCAGACTTCTGCATTTTGCTTGCCAATGAACAGTGGTGAACTAAGTTACAGATCTTCTCCCATACGGTGTCCAAGGCCACCTTCCAGCAGCCAATAAATGATGGAGTAGGGAAATTGTGGTTTATCTTTTTATTACTTAAGTGTATTTACTGTAGTATTGACTGTTCATGCACAGTCTGCCCTCCATAGTAATATTTATTTTTTATATAAATGAATGTCCTCTGTTTCCTCTCATTCCACTGCCTGCCCCCACTAAACTCAGCTCATTGAGCAGTAAGCCCTTTTCAAGGTTGTCAATCTGCCTCAGTGTTGCACTTAAACAGATCTCCAACCTGAGCTTCCAGGTAAGCCACACACTCACATTTGCCACAGTTGAATGTACCATGGGAAGACTCTTCCAGGCATGTATACATACAGCAGACAGTTCACTAACACTTATACTTACACCACTAAAACAACTACCTCCCTGTAAAATAAAGTCTTTACCTATCCTCCCTCACCCTAACAATAGTGAGTAAATGAATAACCCCCAAAATAGTTTGCCCCTTCTGTTTCATTAACCTAGGACAGGATAGGTTAATGAAAAAGCAAGGGCAAACTATGATTCCTTATTTATGGTGGCCCAATAGATAGACATGTTTTGAATGTCTCTGTGGAATGGAGATGAAACATCAAACATGAGCTTTGGGTGGCCAAGGGAAATTTTAAAATGTGATTTATTGGTTATCAGATTTGGCTAGAGTATCCTCAACCAGGTGAGTGGCAGCGACCTAACAAAGGCAAAGACAGAGGAATAGGAAGAGGCATATTACCAGATCTTAGAGTGACCTGGCTAACAAAGATAGAACTATGAAATAACAGGACTAAGAGAACACTAGAGACCAGAAGAGGTACAAAATATAAAAATACAAAATATATGTTATTAAATACAGGCAGGTAAGAAGAGCTTTGAAAGTTGTAGTAAAGACAGAAAAGGGTCAGGAGCATGAAGAAGAGTAATGCTGGGAAACCACAACAGGGCAATGAGGAAAGGCAAGAAAGGAGTTTAAATAAGTCTCCTTTAAATCTGATTGGCCGTACCCGGCCTCTGACCCCAGAACATGCGTGCGTGTCCTTTGCGTGATGTCACACACATGTTGACGTCGTCAATACTGTGGGTGGACGTGGGGTTATAAATTGGTATGGGTCCGCAGCAGCCATCGGCTTTCAATATGCCGCAGGAGTCAGACACACCGGCACAGGGCTGCCAACCAGCATCTCCACCAATGCCCGGAAGGTAGTTATCCCCAGAGGCACCACAAGGTGAGGATGAACATTTGACAATAAGCAATCAGTTAAGTTTATGCAACCTTCTGGAACATCCTAGGAGAGCAACCTTCACAATTACATATGATGAACAAAGTGTGAAGGCAGAACGTGAGGGACAGGGGTTCAAGTCCCACCAGGGCCAGTCAGAGGGCATTGTGTTTCCTGACATTGATCTTAAGTAGTTCCTATATGCCAGAAGCCAAGGCAAATGCCATTTTTGCGCAATGGTTACATCGACCATGGCTTCATGATGCTCTTTACTGTCTTTTTGTTTTTCAGGCTTGGGTCTCGCCACTTAACTTTGATGTCATTCTCATTCCTATTGCATGAGGCCTGAGCATAGTACACAACTGACTTCCAAAGGAATTGTTTCTCTTTGATTGGTGTGCTTTTTACAAACTTGCCAAAAAGTTTTGATTAGTGTTGACACACCCCATCTATTTATGCAAAAAGCTTCAAAGACAGGGCATCGTATTTAAGTTTGCATTCTTAATCTTTTTTTTTCCTTTTCCTCACAAGAAGACCCAGACAAAAGAGGACATGCATCTGTCTTTCACATCATGAAGTTTTGCAGTGTTTATAAGTTTCAGCACTTTTAAAACGACATACTTGGGTAAAATCTGTGAATTGTTCACATGAAAATTACAGACATTTCATCCAAGTGTCAGAAGTGATCAAAATGATAGCAAAAGCTATGTATTTGTTACAGAACAAAAATTGCAACACAAGAAATTATTTCTAAATTACTTTGATTTTAGTACATAAACTATTTGCAACTCTAAATACTGAGCAATATTTAAAAATACATTCAAAATGAACATTTAGAAATTGCTCACAGATCTAAATCACTGTTTTTATATCATTGTCACTGCTAGTATGAAAACGTTAACAACCACTGCACCGAAGACAACCACCTCCATGATATAAAGTCTACCTCCAAGACAACTACCTCCTTAACAAAATTGTTGACTGGGCTTCTTGCATAATTTGATGACAGACAGTGAAATTGGTGCTGGGGGTCAGTTGGCCATGGGGGACAGGGAAAGGTGAGATTTACTTACCAAAACTTATCCCTCACAGTCCCATCCATCCTTTTCCATCTGCTCTTCTCTTCTTCATATCCTCTCAGCATCTTTTAGATCTATGAAGAATTCTACAAGGATTCATAAAAAGAGCTTTATTTCTCAACATTCGCTACTCGTGAATGCTGGGAGGAAATGATAAGCTTTACAGAAGTAGCTCTGCCTTTTTGTCAAGTGTAGGAAAAAAAAGTGAGACAAAGTAGTCCCCCTTTTGTCTTAGTAAATATTTTGACTGGGTTGTAATTTCACTGAAATTACAACAGTCAACCTGAATGTTTCATAAAGATTCAATCTTTGTGAAATACTCATTTGTGATATGGAGGAAACAGAACTGATTTAAATAAATTTATGGAAATAAAATGTTAGTGATAATATGTCTAATATGTCCTCTAGGAGTGCTTATGCTTCAGAAATTAATTTTCTGTTTAGGTATGCATTTCCTAAGTAAGAATTTGTTATAACCGTGCTTTGAAAACTGAAGCCAAACATTTTAATTGCTTTAATGGAAATCCTGATTGTAAATCCTCTGGCTATTATCCAAAAACTCAAGAAACCTTTTTAAATGCTGTCCAAGATATACAAAATAAATAGCCCAAGGTCATGGAATGGAAAAGTTTCTACACAGTATTTGGCAGAGATACTAACTTTTTTAAATATAAAAAGCCCTTGTGATGTTCATGATTATTTTAATGAAATTTCTTTGCAAAGGACATTGGAGAGTAAAAGGTACTAAACAAACACTTACTTACATATTTTTTTTATAAAGCAGAAACTATTCATAGAGAATGTTAAATATATTTTGTTTATTTTTTTATTTTTTTTAAAAAGGATAGTCCAGGAACATTCTAATTACTGTTATATATTGTTTAGCCAAAACTATTAACCATAGAATTTTGTTAAGTTTACTTTTTTGTCTTGTTTACTTCAAGGTGTGTTGAAAAATGGCCCATGAGCAGCTCAATGACAATGCTAATCCAACTCTGTTTAACCATAAAGGAATATATTTTAACACTGGATTAACAACACCTGAATGCATAGATTCTCTGGAGCATCTTGAAATCAGAGACAGCGATATTTTTTTGGTGACTTATCCAAAATCAGGTAAATGAAGAGAGAGAGGAAGGGAGAGAGACACACATCAGGAATTGATTTCTTAATTTGTTCCTCACTTCCCTCTTTATTATCAAAAAAGATAAACAGCACATTGGGGAGTGTTCAACCTGTGTATGTGCACAAGCTCAGCAAATTGAGTGAGTGTGCTTAGTAATATAATTATGCATGACAGTGGCTAGTTATGCAAGCATGAATTGGAGTCTGTGACTACTTAATTGTGGCCAGTTATGCAAGAGTAAAAGACTAATTAGGGTTGTGTGTGTGTTTATGTTGGTTCATATGTTTATGCTTTTTATGAATTTTACAATTTGCATACAAATATATTGTTTATTAGGCCTGTGTATACACACAAAAAGCAGTCTAAGAACCATAGCTACTGCGCTGAGAAATAGCGGTTATGGTGCTATTAGACCTTTGCTCATACCTTGATCACTGTTTGCCAACATGGAAGTTCCAGTTCTGTATTAGCAATATTAATTTCAGTGTTCATTTTGGCAGCAAATTAATTTTAGTCATAGTCTATTGACTAAAAAGCCATTTTAGCTGTAGTCGTATTTTAGTCATCTGAATTGTTTTAGTTTTAGTTGACTAAATCTCCAGTAGATTTTAGTCGACTGAATCTCCAGTAGGTTTAATTCTCTATCTGTCTCTTTTGCCTCTACCGCAGCCCCTCTGTGTCTCTTGGTGGCTTCCCATGTGTCTCATTCCCTTAGCCCCCATGTGTCTCATTTCTTCTCCTCCTTTCTCCATGTGTCTTACACGCCAGTCTTTATTTTGGCGACAAATTTCAATTTAGTTATAGTATTTTGATTAAAAAGCCATTTTAGTTCTAGTCCTATTTTAGTCGACTGAACCTCAAAACTTATAGTAGACAAAAATCTGACTAAAATTGTTAGTCGACAAAATTAACACCGATTAATTTCATTAATATTTGAAAGACTGTGATTGGCTGAACATGTCAGGTGATGCTCTCAGCCAATCAGGATGAAATTGATGTTCAGAAAAGTGTAACATCCACATTTGCTTCTCAGAGTGTACGAACTGGGTCTCCTGTGCCTCAAAGAACCCCAGTTTGGGTCAAACCATTCAAATGGTTTTATCGAGAGCTAGAGGACAACTCCAGTGAGCTGATAGCATCATGTATAGACAAGGGGAATGTGATGCAAATAAGAATAACAGATCCTACCCCAAACATTCCCCAATAACGACAAACACTGAATTTGGATGAAACAGGCCACAGCATTTATTAAACATGAGACTGTAGGACTCATTTAACTTTTATTAACTTTATCATTTAATTATAACCAGAGATAAATACATAAATAATCCATAACTTAACATACAAATGAACACATAGGCCCTACTGACTTTACATAAACATCCTTGCCAATGAACAAGACCACGTGCCTATGCACCAACTTGCCCACTGGGTTCTCACCTCCCCCCCTCATCCAAACCAAATATCCTTTTCCTTTTAATGTTTGCCACCAGCCGGCTTTTAGCTTGGTAGACACGTCCAAGTCGGTAACTGATAACTGAAAAGTTTACCCTACAGAGAGGGGAGGTTGAGACCAAACCTTATCCATATAACACTCAGTATAATAGCCCCCAATACCTATTGGCAAGGACAGGCCCCCCGCCACAACCCCGCAGTTTTACGCTTAAAATCAGCAGGTGCCTCACCCAAACCACTCAAGGCCTGTTCCACTGCTTCCTGTATAGCAAGATTAAAAAGGTCAAGCCCGTCCTCCGTGAGGTGCACGCCATCACCCCGAAATAAATTTGCGCCTCCCATTCGAACACCCTGTGGTGAACTGGGATCCCTTTCACCCACAAGACAAACTTAGAGACCCTCCTATTTAATTTAATACAGCTTTACTCCATGGCTCTCTGACTATGGGCTCGCTGCCAGTAGTTACGGGACATGACCTCCGACCAAATGAGTCGCACGTCAGGAAACAGAACTAAGATGCGTGCCAAGTCCCTCTTAATAGCATCCGACAACCCCCATTATAGGCATTGTCCCAAGATAATTATCCCCCAGGTGAATAACTAGGACGCTCGGTGCACCCAGAGGGCGGGAGAGCTGAACCAGCTCCGGGAGATGCCAAACCCATTTCATACCAAACCAATGAACCACCGCTTCAGAAGGCGTGAAAACCTAAGAGCTCACCTCCCGGACAGACAGCTTCACGCCTCGTGGCCCAGTATACATACGAGTGCCAATCACCCACTCCCTGGGGGGAGTTGCACCTGTAGAGAGAAACATCAATTCAGGAGGCAGGAAGGATAACCATATGAAACAAAATGCCCAGATGCCCACCTCCCTACCCTCTGAACCGCTTGCGCCGGCATACCCAGCCTAGAAGCCTCCCTGGCAGCGCCAATCCGAAAGAAATGCCCACAATATTCCTTGCTGTCAATCCCCAGGACCTTCAGCCCCAAACGAAAGACCCAAATAAAATTGGAAATGAGAAAGAAAGTTCCCATCCTCATGTACCAAAAGAGGGCCCGTGCATACCAGGCACAGCTCACAGTACTCCCTAAAGGAAGAAACGGGGCAAATAGCCAAACCCGGGACAGCACCCAAGCGAACCCACTTATCCTTCCTGAGGACATCCGTCATCGAGCATCGGATCTTAAATGCAATTTGATCCTCAGCGCACTGAACATTGGCAAACACCCCACCACTGCAGCGCCTAGTAGGGCACACCAATTACCCAATCCGCATAACCCCAAAGAATGCCAGGGAATAGGCCAATGCGAATAGACGGGCCTCAAAAACAGAGTAATAGACCAGAGGAAGCACTCCACACAATCTTGTCAATAGCACAGCGGAGACTGGCCTTCTTGCGTCCGCTGAAGAAATCCGACGCCTCAAGCCTTTCAGCGCCTGGCACACCAAAACGCCTTGGTAGAGTCTTCCCACCCCTGTAGCTTGAACAGGAAGCTAAGACCCAAAAAATGTGAGGAGATTGCAGAGGGAGACTTACCCACGGACTCCCAGTGATCCAAGAGCTGCAAAAGTCCTGTGAGGCGGGCAGCCAGGGTACCAAAACCACCCTGATCATGCTCCTATGTGCCCTATTCACACCACACCTTACTGTATCGAGTCCACGTGGCCCTGGAAACAGAATGCCATGTATATGCTCAGCCCTACAATACACGTTTAGACATAAACATCAGAGCACCAACCGCTAAAGCAAGTGAACTACTAGAGGGGAGAAGGCAGTCAACCGATTGATAGCTTGAACAACCCCCAGATTGTCACTATGAAAAACAACCCGTTTATCCCAAAACTGGGACCCCCAAACCTCCACCGCCACCAGAATGGGGAAGAGCTCTAGGAAAACCAGATTCTTAGTGAGGCCAGAGACATGCCAACTGTCCTGCCAAGAGGCAGCACAACAACTAGAGCCCAGAATCGCCCCAAACCCCACAAAAAGCACAGCATCTGTAAAGTGGTGTAGCTCCGTGTTTGAGACCTCAGGCGCTTGCCAATAGGAACGGCCATTATGACAGCCAGGAAGGAGTCCCAGACCGCCAGATCCTCCCGCAGAGGCAGAGTCAGACGAATAAAGTGCCAGAGTCCGGTGACCCCGGACGTCGCCGCAGCCATACTCCTGTTAAAGACCCGCCCCATCAGCATGGTACTACAGGTAAAATTCAGCTTGCCCAGCAGCGACTGCAGATTCCACAACTGGATCTTACGCAACCCTAGGGCAATAGACACTGCCCGCCGCAAACCTAGAATCTTATTCAAAGGACAAACTGCATTCTCCCGCCACAGAATCAATATCAATGACCAAGAGACACGTGATGGGACCCACCATTTTGTCGTGGGCCAAAAGGACGCAAAAGCATCGAAAAACATCCCCCAAAACCCGCAGCAGCGCACAGGCTGGCGAATCGGCAGGACCCACACAAAGAAAGACACAGAGGTAATGCAGCAGGGAGTAGATCCCTCCTAACAACCCACTCCAAGAATGTACTGAAGCACTCAATGTAGAAACAGGATATCGAACAACCCATCAGAGGCACATATCCACATAGTACATGTCTTCAAAAACACAACTCAGAAGATGATTACATTCTGGATGCACTGGCAGCAAAAGGCATGTCGATTCCACGTTGGCCTTGGCCAACAAGAACCCAGGGCCTGTGGCTCTGACCATGCAGACTGCCGTGTCAAAGGACACATAGGACACCCGGCAGAGTTCCGAAGAGATGTCATCATTCACCGAACCCCCGCGAGGGTACGACAAATGATGACGCAAACTGTATTTCCCCTGCTCCTTTTTGGGCACCACGCCCAAGGGGAGACCCGCAAGTCTGTAAAAGGGGGGTCACTAAAGGGACCCGCCATGCAACCCAGAGGCACCTCCTTGCTAGCTTCTCCGGAACCACATGCGGGAAATTCCGAACCGAACGAAGGTTCCAAACCAGCAGCGAAGGGGGGCGACAAGTGAAAGGAATCCAGAAACCGTGCTCAAAGCCGTCCAACAGAACTTCGGCAGCCCGACCATATCTATAACTGGTGAGCCATGGGTGAATCGCGCTTACGACCACCGGCATTGTCACCTTTAGACCCCAGATGGAGCCTTCGTGCTTGAAACGGCACGATGCTCCCCATTTGCAATGACTGTCATTAATTTTCCAACAACAGCCTGGCGTCTGTTGCGTGGCCGATGAGGCAGAGGATGCACCCCACCCGCTCCCCCAAGAAAGGACGAGAAACCACCTTGCTACATCGCCGGGCGTGTCATGATGGAGAGCCAGAGGCCAATGTACATCTGGTTCCAGGAAATTGAGGGGCGCACTGCCAACCATTGACGGATTTGCTTGTCACCACCCCAGCCCGCCATAGGTACGACAAGCAGTCCAAATGGTGTCCTGGTAGCAG